GCTGGGCCCGCCGGGCGGGAACGGCTGGCGTCGCGTGGGGCCGGGGCGCCGCGGCTCTTCCAGGCAGCCCGAGTCTGACAGCTGTCACCGGCACTGGAGCGCTGCGGAGCCCCGCAGCGCGCCCAAAGGGGTCGCGTTTGGGGTTCGCCCTGTCGGGTAGGTAAGGGAGCGGGTGTTGCTGCCCTTACCGGCGCGCGCAGCGGTTTTTACCGACGCTCTGTCGGTAGCCCCGGCTAGCGAAGTATTAACGTGCTTGTGTTCACAGGTGCAATCAACCAAAAGAGCGGATCCTGCTGAACTACGAAGTATTTTTTTGCAGGTAAAAAGATCTGTCTAATGTTGTTAGATTGACAGACTTTTATTTTTTGCCCTTTCAGCAGCTTGCCACGGCATCATAACGCGTGTCGCGCTTGTGGGACGCTTAAAAGTTCACTTTGCGGGCACAATGTGTTGAAAGGGCTGTCGGGCACTGAGGAGAAACTGCTCCTGACACAAATCGTGATTAACCATTTCCAAATGATAATTTTAAATAATTTTCTAAGGTATTTTCTAATTTCCTATAAAGCGAATAATTATAACCATGACTAAGTACTGTTATTTTTTAAATACAGTTTTGCAAGATCCTAAAAAAATTCTTTTTCCATGGCTGTATGTTTTGTCCTTGGGGTTTATATGTATTCCTCTTACACATGGATGGACAACTGGCAATGTTTTTAGAACTTAAAAGTTAATTTCTTAAGACTGATGTATTTCATACTATTATCCCTTGCAGGGCCTTAGGATTAACACATACAAATAACAGCATGAGGCTTTTTCCACTCCCCTTAGTTACAGTGAAGCACGATCTGAAAGGAAAATCCAGTCAATCCTAAAACTCTGATGATAAGGTTTGAATCAGGCAGATGAAATAAGAACAACTATGTTTCAGGTCATAGTTGGGCCACTGATACTTCCAAAATCACTAAAATACCTTTTCTCTTTTCCCTTCATGTTGAGTATTACACAGTATATTTAAGAAGCTTTCCTCTATGAAGAAGGAAAGAATATAAAATTAAGTATTAGAGCTAATACTGTAAATAATAAAATCTATTATTTAATCTTTGACATGTATCTTTTGGTCCTACCGTCTTATCTAACAGTTTCCACATATAATGGACAGAGAGACCTTTTTGCCTGAGGGAGAGAAGTTAAATTCCAACCATAATTTTGGTGTTTTTTTGCTTTTGCATACTGGGTTACACTGGTAACATTTCTGGAGTGCTAAAACTTAGAACATTGGAATCAAACCGTGAAAGCCCAGCATTTAGTTTCTAGTAAAAAAATCCTCCATCATAGGTTCATTTATTGTTGACATGACATTTAGCTTTTGTAGATGAGCAATACAGTAGAGTATGTTAATAAAATAAATAATGTGAAAATATGATTTTTTAAAATATATATTAATACAATATAAAAATATGTGGTTCTAGAACATCACACAGCTCTTTTCCAACTTTTCGCAAGATACTTTTGCATGTTTGGTTGCAAAAAAGTGAAATGTGGTGTCAAAATACTCTATTCAGCTCGGAAATGTGGACTTTTTATGATTCTTGACTTCCAGTCAGTAGCAGTGCTTGCTTCTGGAAAGAAGTAATTGTTTGAAGTCCTTGGTTTTGGTCCTACAAGGAAAAGTGGAGAGGAAGAACATTGTACAATTGGATCTTGTAGTTGTCTCTCTGACAATACATGTTTTATTGACCTAAAAAGCAGACAGTCTGGTTTTAAAACAGCTTTTTGGTCTTCTTCATGTTTATCTTGTAATCTTCAAAGCAACATGCAAATTAAGTTGTGGATTGTTTTGTGCTCTGAGGAATGAAAAATACGAAAGCTCTCCTGTCTCCTCTGGAGTATCTGAGATTTGCAATAAAAAAAGAGAAACAAACATAAACATCTCTGGCACAGAAAGAGAGTTTATATTTCTTTTGGATTATATTTGATTATAATTGAGTTTGAAATTGTGTTTTTTGTTTGATAGGTAGCAAGCAGACTTAGTTGCAAACTTTAAAAAAATCAAAAGAGAACAACCAGCTCTTTCTAAGACTAAGTTGTAGAGAGTCTTGTTATGAAATATTGCTAGTGTTGAACACATCGGTTCAGATGTGTTGTGCTCTTTGCTGAGAGTGCTAGCCTGTTCTGTGAGCTTCAGCTAAAGGTCGTGCATTCCTTCCTAAATTTGGCTTGCCTTGCAAATAGGCGGAAGGGAAGATGTGCACTCTAGGCCTCTTCGTCATCCACCTTGTCATAGAGAGGGTACTTAAATTTCCTTCTGTTCATGCGTATCCTCTATAATGTGATATGTGCCCTCTGTCCATCCAGTTTAAGTTGTATCTTAATGGATGCTTGATATATACCTTTCTCTCAGAACTTCTGAAGCTTGCTATATATTTCTTTTGATTATTTTAAACTGTTAAAAATCTTAAGTTTGCCTTGTATTAAAAAGATGTGCTATTATTTCTGTGTAATCCTGTAACTATGAAATGCAGGCATTGAACTTTCATGTTTGTGCACCATCAAATAAGTTACCTGTCCTGTGTTTGCTAACCGCTGACTTCCGTAACAACCATAAAAAACAAAATAGAAATTTACTGGAGGATAAAAGAGTTATGTAAAACAACAGTTATCAGATTTCTTAGTAAGCCTTCATTCTTTTTTCTTAGGCAAGACACAGTCAGCCCTTGGGGTATATAGTTATATAGTTGAATTATTCCCTGCCTGCTGAATGCAAGTGGAACCTGTTCCAGCAAGGTGGAGAAAGAAACAAAAACAAATTTCCAATTTTAATACAGGAAACTTCCCCCTTAAAAATGTCCTGAATCTCTTGCTCATAGCTTAGCTTAATTAAAAAAAAAAAAAAAGTTAAGGGTACTCGTAGGGCTCTTTTGTTTTGGAACTTAACTTCTTATGATAAAATCATTGCGATTGAAAAAAACCCTTTAAATTGAAAATTAACCAATTTTTCAAAGAAAGCATTGTTTCCGAAAGTTGGCAATACTTAGCACTATATTGTAGAACTAGAGTAGTGTTTTTCTGTGTTCATGTTACGTGGTGATGTTTAAAAAAACTCTCACGCAAATTCATCAAGTGCTTACCTGAGACAGTCTAGAAATGTATAATAAGAATTTTGTGTTATAAAGTAATATAATTCAAGACTGAGGAAAATATGGGTTTAATTGATGTGTTATGTTTTATATGCAAATTAGGATACAATTTACAATTGTCTGTTTTGTGCTAAAAGATTCTTGACTTAAGTTGTATGGTGAAAAGATAACCTGAGGACAAATGTAAATACATGCCAAAAAGGAATAGCCTAGCTACTTCGTCAGGCGTTAATTTATTGGCTCGATGCCAAGCCCTTTTGAAATACCATGACCTTCTCATATGGAGTTCAATGTATCTGTCAGTTAAGTATTTTTGTCTCAAACATTTTTTTAACAAAACTTGCCCCACACAGTTTTTATTGTAAAACAATTTGCTCTTTGTAATAAACTCAGATAAATTGGTGTCTGAAGAAAAAAAATATGACATTTAGATTTTTACTATCTTTGATATGCACTCTGCTGTCATGCAGTTGAATTCCATTGTTCTTGAAGATATGCTCAATACTCTGCATGTTTGATGGTTCTTCATACACAAAAATTCCTTTGGATTGCATGTCTCGCAGCAGAATTATGCTTCATAATGCATTTTTTAGTCACTTGTGTATACGACTGAGAAGAGAACCTTTCTGAGTTGTTTCAATGAAGCCACAGTTTCATTGTATTATCATGTTGGCAGCAGTGCTGAATTAAAGGATTCCTGTCCACTGCCTTGTGTTCCTATTTTTGTGGAAATCATCTATTTTAATTCTGCATTAATTCAATAAGCCGGTTTACAGTGCAGTCTTGCAAACAGTTGTCATCACAGCTATTGGGTGGAAGAGGGAGAGGTGATGTGAGGGGCTGGTATTGTGGAAGAGGTACGGGAGATGCTTAAGCAAGCATTGATGCTGATGCAAGCTCCTTTACACTGAAATAGTGTCCTGACTGAATTGGTTGGGTTGCATACAGCTAAAACACGCATGAGACATGTGAATGATCCCCTTTATCGTAATGGAATGTTACACCTTAAGAGGTATTTTGTGTAGGTCTTATTGTTAATATTCTGATTCCTGTGGGTCCATGGAAGAGTAAGGGCCCATTTTGTTAATCTTTCACATAAAGCTGTGTCAGCTGAATCAAGATACTGCAGTATATAGTGGAAAAGTTACAAGTTACAGATAAGGCCATTAATTGTATTTTGAATTCACTAGCACAGAGAGAATGCTTATGTAGTCATCATTTAATGACTAGAACCTAGAAAGGTGAATTATGTTTTTACAAATGAATTAAAAATCACTACTTTTATTGTAAATCAAAATTCTAATGAAACAGCTGTGTAGTTTTGCAACTTCACTTTCTCAGTATGAGCACAGTTCTATGTATATGTTTGAAGGTCTGCATCTAAATCATTGTGTGTACAAGTAGACTGTACAGTAGAGAGTGAACAGAAGACGTGGATTTTAAACAATTAAGTAAGCTTGCTTATGGGTTTTGTGAGCAAAAATGCTGAGAAACAAACTCGGTCATCAAACTGGATTGGGTCACAATAGTTTAGCGAACTAGAAATCTTTTGTGAGCTCCTTTCCTGTGTTCTAGGTTGCAAACATAGTTTAACTTTGCAATCTGAAAACTTAGGTTTTATTTCTAAGATTACTGTCATATCGTAAATAAACTACAAGAAATTCTTCCTGCAACTATACTGCCATCTTGAAACAAGATCTGAAGGGTATGAACTTGCATAATACATTTCCCTTTCATCACTTGTGATCCTTTCTAATCCTGCCTCCTCATGTTCTTAGTTCAAGATTGGTATTACCCAGCGTAACTGCACAGCTGAGGGCATGGAGTTTACTTTATGCTAAAAAGTTCACTTTTAAATTAAAGTTGACCTATAGATAAGAACCAGTGATTAATGATTTGAAACAGAAAAGTGATCAGTAAAAATACTGATATAGACATGTGGCAGTTGTCTTGGTGTACAAGTAATAAAGATGTACTTGGTTATTTTATTTTTAGTTAGTTTTATTAATATTTAAATTCTATAATTTAAAATTTGCCTGTGACTTTTACTTGAAAATAAGATTAAAATGCAAAATCAAATTAAAATATTTCAGTTGACTTAAATCCTTTTTGTCTGTGTGTGTGAATTTTTACTTAAATGAAAAATGCCAAAACTATTAGTTTCAGGATAAAAATTAATCTGAAAATTTATTTCTCACAAAAAGAGAAAATAAATAATACATATTTTCTGAGCTAATTATAATAATGATCAGGAGCAATTATTCAGAAGATATTTGCTACTAGAAACTATAAGAAAATTTATGTGTTGTGTTTTTAGAGTGTAGCTGCAAATGGAAAGCTACAGCCTGGCTGTAATTTTTATAAATTTATGCAATTACCTGACAGTTTCTGAAAATATGTAATTGTCTTTTAATTAGAAGATACTGGTCATTATGTGAACATGTCTATTCTACAGGGGTAACCTGATTGTTGGTGATATGCAACTAATATAGTAACGCTATTAGTTTAATCAAGCCCTTTAATTTCATAGCAGTTACGTGCAGACAGTTGTGCACTATTTCAAGTGATATTCAGTAAAGATACTGTTTTGGTAATCACTGATAATTAGCATCTAAATGGATTCTTTTGTGTGGTTTTATTTTTTATTTTTACTCTAGTATGCCAGTGTTGAGAAAGATGGTGAGCATTACATGACCCCAGAAGATTTTGTGCAAAAATACCTAGGACTTTATACAGATCCACGTTACAATCCTAAAACAGTGCAGCTGTTGGCTGGAGTGGCAGATCAAACTAAGGATGGGTGAGAATTTTGCTTTCCATTAGAAGCTTGTAATGCATTGGTAAATGCATGAGTGAACGGGTTTGATAATTTCATCTTCTGAAATACGTTATTGATTTTATTACACTTTAAGCTTATTTAGATGACAAGTTTTTTCTCAAGTACAATAGACTATAAATTTGTGGAAATTGGGAAAAAATACAGTGTTTAACGTGCATTTTTTAAACTAAGGTTTGTTTTAATGGAATTTTAACAATTACTACAAATGCAGAGAAAGTTGAACTGTACGTAAGTTTAATGTAGTACAATTGCCTTGGAAAAGTTCTTTTCTGTATACTTGCGTCCATGATTAGATACTACGTAGAGTCTTTGGTACCTGTAATTAAATGTGGAAATGCAGAAAAGCTTTCTTATTTCTGTAGTGTGTAATTTAAATAAAACCACTGAGGTCTTTTTTAAAGTGCTGGCTATTAGGAAAGCAAGACACTAATGACTCTGTGAAGGAAGAAGGTGTTTGCCTAATCAAGATAAGGTCACACCACATAAAGCTTTTCCAAGTCTGCTTACAGATTATATTACTTGCTTTTAGACAGTTCTTGGAAACTAATATACAAAATGTCTGCTCCACTGAGGTAGTACCCTCTAACTCACTTGTCTTCAAAGGAGCCTTTTCTCTTGCTGTATCTAGGCTTCTAGTTTTGGCCTTGGATTGTAGCAGGAAGCATGGACATTGAAAGTAAAGTGAGAAGGTTAAGATGGCTCAGAGAACAGGTCAAGAATGCAGAAGGGAGTGGGTATTTTGTAGAGAAGAGAGAGAAAGTTGCTGTTAAAATAGTATACAATACATTTGTAAATATATAGATGTAACTTGTTTTAAATTGAAAGCCCATTAACTTCCTTGGATTGTGAGTCTAAACCTGACCTTTGATATCACTTAAGTGTTTTTGTTTTCCTGTGTTCTGCTTTAGAATGTTTTATTAGTTTGCATAGTATCCTGAGCAGCTTGCACAGTAGCTGTGCTTTACAAATGAAATTGTATATGCTGTATAGATTTTACACTAAATGACAAATGTCAGATCTTCTGTTTGATCTTTTTTTTTTTTTTTAATAAAGCTGCAGCATTTTGATAATACATACATTTGATAAATCTAGATAACCTGTCTCTCTGTTTGCAATACATGGCTGCAGCTTGTTGCATTGTTATGGATTGAAAAGGCTATTTTATATGTATCTGTTGAAATAATAGTCTAATTGGTGACTAGTAAACTAACATGTTGAGTATCTTGTTTCTCTGAAAGCAGTCGGTTATCTTTTACGGTGTGCATTTCTTCAGAAAATGTCTTATAAAAGGATCTTTCTTACAGTAAGAAATCAATAATTGGTTTTATTGCTACAATGGAAGTTTACATTGAAGCATCACTCTTTTGTTGCTTCCCCTGTGAATATAAGTTTTTTGGGGTTTGTTTTTTTTGTTTTGTTTTTAAATCTGGGTAATATTTGAAGTGACATAATCAAATATGGGTAAGTGTGCTTTATCTACTTCTGTATAGGAACAGTGGGAATGGGAATTGTTACAATATGGTCTGCAGTGCAAAATGTTTGTCTGTCTGAATGCTTGTCTGAAACTTATTTTCCTAAATGTTTTAATCTATATTTATCTCCAATCTTTATTTCATGTGAAGAATTTGTTATAGCCCATCATCATTGGTTTGTTTATTTACTTTTACATTCATATTCTTTCATTTGTAGTGAGCCTTTAATATATCAAAATCCAGACTCTAATAACTATATCATTTGCACAGAGAGTTTAATCTGTAGTGTGAATAATTATTGTAATCTTCAACTGAATTCCAGAATACATTATGTCTTTCCAAAGACTTAAAGTTACTTTATGAAGTCCAGGGAATTATCAGTAGTCCTATTCCATACATACATTTGTAAATTAAATGACAGCCCAATGTGTCAAATCATTGAGAAGCTTTGGGTTCTGTTAGGAAATTTAATTCCTGTATCTGCTATCATATTCTCTTAGCCTTGCTTGCCCTTCAAATACTCAGAAGTGTTCTTAGTAACTTTTCTGTGTTAATATTTTTTAATCTCATTTAGGTTTAAGTTTGGCACTTTAGAAAAAAAGCACATTTTGGAACTGGCTGTCTGTAGGCATATGTTTTAAAAAAAAAGGTGTTTTTACTTTTTTTCTAATGATAACTTGATCCTTACTTAACTATTCCAGAGTACTACTACATTGTCCCATTGCTACAGTACAAGATTGGTTTGCTTTAGTGGAACACTGTAAGGTAGTTCTTAAAACAGATGGCTGTTCACTTTCAAAGTGTTTATTCTTCATTGTTACAAATGCATGTTCTGAGAAATTAATGTGATGAGCTCTAAATTAGAATTTGGCCTAAACTGCCTTGTCTGCTGTCTGTTTAATGCAATGGGATTTCACTGATGCTGTAAGCATTCCTGTGTCTTCAGACTGCAGGCACTAGATTTGAAATTAGGATAAATATCCTCTTCGAATAATGCACTTATATATGTGTGCTAAAACCGGCTTCCCAATTACATAAGTCAGTTAACATTAGTAGGTATTGCAGTTTTAAAATCAAAGATTTTCTTCTCCCTTCAAACTTTCAAAATTTCACAGTACTAATTTAAAATTCTTCACTTTAATTGCTTGTTTCTGGGTACTCTTTTTTACAGCATATTGTTCTTAAAATTTGGAAATGTTTTCGTAAGTCCTGAAGAAAGGGTTGATGTTTCACATAATGGAGAGTCATAACAGAGCTATACATAACGTCGAAAAGCTATGTTGTGTGGGGAAAAAAGAGCAAAGGGTTGTAGTAGGAAAAAAGGAAAGATAGAGAAGAATTGTAAACACATGACTTGCTTTGTGTGCTTTTGAAGGGTAACAGTACAGAAGAAATGAGAGGAAAGGAAATTTTTTAAAATCTTACAGGTAAACTGAAAGGTGAGTAGATTTGATACTGTTACAGACTCTAACACAGTGGGTTCACTGAATGATACTTGAATAGTGATTGGGTGGGAAGCTCCATCATTCTGTTTAATCCAGCTCCTGTTATCTCTGCCCTAAGGGATAATGGAGGAGTACAGGGGATATCCCTGCTCTTAGACATTGCAAGTTGAATATATGGAAAGGAAATTGAATGTGTCTGTCTCCTTTTGCTGTAGGCACTGGTAAAGTGAGACCACTGAAGATGGCTTCTTTCAGGTTCAGGCTTCTACGAATGCATTCTACAGATCATCACTTGATTCTGTCAGTTATAAAGCTTCCTGGTTAGGAATCAATTTGTATGTCAGGTTTATGCTTGTATGTGAGGTATATTTTAAAATGATAGTATTTACAATTATTTTAAAGGATATTCTTTTTCTTTGATGCTAAACCATTATTTATCAAGATCATCCTTTGGATGAAATTGACTTTGCATCTGAAGAACCATTCTCACATCTCTGATTTTTGTGGCTAAAGTGTGACAAATGAATATAATAATTCTGTATTTGCCATATCTTAATTCCTTTCAAAATCACTACATTTTTTTCTGTATTTTCTGTATAATGCATATATGCAAGAATGTTAACATATGTAACCTTGTTTAATGTATCTCAATTCTGCTTTATGTGTACCTTGATAGAGAAAGAGTAGCTAAACTCATGAGTAGTGTGGCTTGATTTTTTTATTTATTTGTTGTTTTCTGTAGGGAACAGATTATACTTCACTCTTTAGCAGTAAGCAGTATATGTGTGAAGTAATCACTATGAGCTAATGATGTCCTATGAAGAGTACTAAATTCAGATGAATTATGTACATTTTCTGGGATAATGTACCACCTACACTGATATTCTGTGTTCTAACAGCATCTACTGAAAGAGTAATTTTTTTGTTTAATTTAAAAAATGTAATTAAAATTCTTATTCCCATTGATAATTTATTTGCTGCTAAAATAGATACCCTATTATTTATTTCGATAAACTGAGCTCAGGAACTTGTAACTGGATGGAATATTCTAAGCCATCAAGCGAAGTCCCCTGTTTTTTACAAGGATGAAAACACACATTAGTTTTAATAAACCAGGTTTGCTGTTAAAACCTAAGGCTTTTTCTTGCAGTATTCTGAAAAGGCCACAGTATATGCCTGTTCTAAATATCTTTATGGATATGTGATTTTGTTCTTGTGCTAACATTATCCTTTATCTTCTCCTGACTTAGGGCTTATTTTTCTGCAGCTGTTCTTACATACAGCATTAGGATCCCTTCTAAATGTTTTTTCTGTTAGTCAGAATAAGCTGGGTTCCTCTAGAAAAGTTATTTATTATTATCTTAATAAGTTACCTGTGCATACATTCAAGTCTTGAGTTTATATGTGTTGAACACAAGGACTTGGATTTCTACGCAGTGTTCCAGAGATGTTGTGGGCACCCTATCTGGGGATACTGCTGCTTCCTTATCTGGCACAGAAACAGCTTTCCTAATGCATCCTCAGTTGCATTTTTGTATATGGTGACTGTCTTGCATACACAGCTCAGAATCTTGTGATCTGCTCTTACACTCAAATCCTTCCCTGCCTTGGCCATGTCTAACTGTCCTTATGTCCAAATGTTCTTATAGGTTGTTTCTTTCTTGTCCTCAAGTACATGACTGCAGTTCATGTTATATTTGAAATGTAATATTTTTTCTATATATGTAGTTAAGTATAACTTTTTCTGAACCTGTTTGTTTTTTATAAATGTTATACGTTGTTTTAAGAAAATACATATATTGTATAGTATATTCCTATACTTGCATTAAACTATCTTTTCTTTCTCAGTAGAAATACCTGTATAAATTAGTAATATGATGACAGCCCTGTAAACTTCATGGTGGTAGAATTTCTGTGGGTTTTTTGAGTCTTAACTTTTAAGTGCTGTCTGCTTACATTTATAATACCAAAGTAATAAATTGTAGGTATTCACTGAGAATTGATTACATTTAGTTGTTGATGGATATGAAGAATTCAGTCCTTTTATAGAGGAAGAAACTGAGTTGCATAAAGGTTAAGTAACTACTTAAATGTAACAAATACTTTCTCAGTTTCCAGTGAAGAGTCTTAACTTTTTTATATTAGAATTTTATTTTAGTAATTGGATCATACAGTTTTCTAGAGCATCAGACACAAAATATCCTTGGTTTTGTGAATAATTTTTTGAAATCTTTGAACTTCTGTGTTTTCCTTTGTAGGTTGATTTCCTATCAAGAATTTTTGGCATTTGAATCTGTTTTGTGTACTCCAGATGCAATATTCATAGTTGCTTTTCAGTTATTTGACAAGAGTGGCAATGGAGAAGTAACATTTGGTAAGAATACCTAAAGAAAAAAGTTTAAGAAAGTGATTATAATAGTATAAGTTGTAATGATGCATAGAAATTCATATTGTGCAGTACTGTACTGATTTCCTAAGAGTTTGCATGAGTAAAACATTTTTTTCTTTCAAGTGATAGAAGCTTAAGAAGTACACAGAAATAAAATATATTTTGCTCTGTCTTGAATCAAGATTTTTCTTGTTCCTGAAGTAGTTAATACAATGCTGTTTTGTTCAGTGTCATCCTAAGTAAAATTCTGTGTCGCAGACTTTGAACTCCTTCAGTGATGAGGGATTTTTAAAATATGTTCTGGATCTCCACATATCTTTGATGAATTGTCATTAGATGTAGTAGGAGCTCAATATAGAAATGAAGGAGGTCTAGTCTTTTGAATTCCTAGTTTAGTGTTCCTTTTCTTCAGGAGCAAATCTTACTTTAATCTTATGAGTGTAACTTCCAACTAGATCATATATTTGAAAAATTAGGAAGAAAATATGGCCTTTCAGTTTTGTTACTTTTTTTTTTTCCTAATCACATAAATTAGTAATTGGACAAAATTCTTTAGGCTAACTATACTGCCTTATGATGTTGCTAAATAACTGTTATTAACATTGCAGTTTAAGGAGGACTAGGTTTTATTTTTAAAACTTCATATGTTTATGAAAATTAGATAAATCAGTGCAAAGAATTTAATAAAATGGAATGAGAATTAAATGTTATTTCTATCCAAAAGAATAAAGCTCTCAATAAAGAAAATACAAACTATGCTTGGATTTGTAACCACTTGCTGTTTGTACTATTTCATTCTTACGAAAATTGTTGCAACTTGTTGGAAAAAAAATGCAAGGGTCTGTTTATGGAAACAAACTGCTTGACTTATGATGTCTATTAAATTCATCATTAACTGAAGGATCAAATACTAAGCAATTTGGATACACAACGTCTTGAAAAGAAAAGCTTTTAGAACTTAAGTGAAGGTGAATTCAGTAAATGCAGTCATTAGGAAGTAGACAAACTACTACAATCAGTGTGATCATGTTAAGGATGGTATATTTAATAATCTCACAAAATGGGGATGTGCACTTTGTAGCTCTCATGAACACACTTGAAATAGCTGGTTCCGTAAATGAACAAAAAGTAATTTCAGATTGTATACAGATTTCTCAGTCAGACTGAGGATTGTTATTTTTATGAGCCCATCTTTATATTAAAGACTAAAAGACCAACACAAACAAGAGAAGCTGTAAAACAGAAAATTGCATAATTTTTTCCATGTCTTTCTTGCTGAATTTTTTTTTGTAAGGCTGATAAATCTTGAATAGGAAACTCTTTAGGGAATTTAAAATTTACTATTGGTTTCTTGTTTTTACAAAATTAATTATATTGCAATTATTACTATATTTAATGGTGACATATCAGTGGTACATATTTTTGTGCTACAGTTCCCACGTTTACTGCTGCTTTTTTGCTTTTTTTTTGTTGTTGCTTGTGACATGGAATACTTATTTTTGCTTCATAGGCATAGCATACAAATTAATGCATCTGGGAAAAATGTGAATGATGATATGTAACATCTTCTGAATTTGGAACTCTGCCGTCAATTTCCAAGTCAGTCTTGTGGCCTATAGAGGCTGTTTTACAAATGAGTCCTGCACTCTTTCATTTTCACACCACATAAACAGAAAGGCACAGAGTTTAGTTTCATGTAAAAACAGGAGAATATATAAAATTAGGTCTTAAAAATTTTAATAAATTATTAGAAATATACTGAAATGGACTAAGTTCTGCCAGTTGGTGTGAGAATTGCTATCAGACAAGTCAGCTCTCTTTTATCAGCGTGTAATGTGTCCAGTCTGCAGATAAATCATGGGAGCAAATGTGAGTCAAGATTTTCTAGCTCAGATGTAATGCTATGTGGATGTGATTGCACTGATTCCAAAGCTGGCAAGTCTTGCCAGAAGTGACATGGATTTACTGAGGTTTTTCTGCACTGTGCATCTGGAGCAAGGGGTGGAAGTGCTAGAGAGTGGAACACAGAATCAACTTGGTTCTGTTAGGCCAGTAAGTTGAACCCAACACTGGCCTTGCTGGATGTAAGATATGTCCCAAAATCATTTGGGTATGACTGTATGGCTTTTTCAAAAAATACCCCGATGTACTCAAATTTTCAGTTATCTGGAGAAAGTTAGGTGTACTTGTTGATTTTTAGAGCTGGCTCTGTATTTGAAAGCAAGTTGCTCCTGTCAGGTTCACATCTCCTTTTTAGGATTTATTTACTGACATGGACTCAGACCATACTTGAGCACTTTAGCTTCTTGCAGTCCTCTTGAGCCTCAGTCTGCCACTTGTCTCTTCAAAAGTGTAGCTTCCAACTCTCCAATGAGGAAACTATTAATTAAATTGTATTACAGAAGAACTTCTGTCTTAGGAGTTGAGAAATGGAAGAGGACAGAGAGTTTATGATTCTTTAGAAACTACTTGGTAAAAATACTTGTCAGCTATGCTATGCTAATCAATGTCTTTGTGCAATATCATATGTTAATTGGGATTGTTGAAACAGGAAGCCTTCTGTCACTTTAATGTCATCTACTTTCTTACTGCTTTGGGACGTTGTTCCAGGAGTTTTGGACATCCAGAAATCCTGTATGAATGGCTGCTGTAAATGTGCAGATAGTATGCTGCAATATTTGTATAGGAGGTCCATTGCAAGAACATGAAATTAGACCTACTTTGTATGAGCAAACTGTACAGCACGCTCAGTACTCTACATGTTTCAGCTGCACTGGACTTGCTGTCAGCTTGGTGAATAAAAAGCAATAAAATGACTATTTTAATAACCCACTGATAGAATTGACTTTTTAATCATGGAGAAGTAGAATAAAACCCAACATTTCTTTTCCTGATCACATGCTTGTATATCTTCATAAATGATTCCTAGGTGAATATTTTATGGAAAATGTGTTGCTGATGAGCCCTTATAATATTGCTTTAACCATAAAATATTTTTGCTGACAAAGAAAAGTGATTTTTTTTTTTTCCCCATGCATTGTCTGTCTTGTTATGGGTTGCTATCTGTAGTCAGAGAAGACTGACAACCACTTTGCTTTTTTGATCATGGGATGTAACTGACTAAGCTACTTAACATGAGTGAAATATTTCAAAACACTCCATAAAATTAATGCTATTGTACTAAGGAAACTTCTTTTTATTGCTATTCTGTACAGGTCTTTAGACCTGAATTCAGGTTAAAGCAAACCCGAGTATTAAATCTGCTCAAGCTATTTGGTTTGCTTTGATGTTGAAGCAGATAGTCCTTACTGTGGTTAAAAGGTAAAGTCTGTGACTATCACTGAAACTTCTCTCAAAAATAGGTTGTCTAACTGGAAGTAAAAGGATTCTTTGTAATTTATCCCTTCAGCAAACCATACAATGATCTGGACTGTATCGCTTTTAATTGGAATGTACAATTTTGAGGCTTTTTCCAGCTGTTCTTCCTTGTAGAGTCACCACAAAGAAAGGCATTCTCTGATAAACTGGAGAATTTCAGAGACACTTTTTTAGTTAAATACCCATGCTGGTATGGATAGAAAGATAGAGCTAAAATAATGAGATTTTGAAATTTTGAATTTTACTGCCTTCATGTTCATGATTCTTCTGTATTCAGAATTTTTATGTTATTTTGGAGATATTTGGAAAATATTTATGGAACTGGACATAAGGCATTTTAAAACATGCTGCAGCTCAAAATCTAATTAAAAATATTTTGCAGAGTTTAATGGCCTCTTCCTTAAAGGCACTGGGGGGTGGAAGAGGATTGGATACCTAGTAATGCAACTATGTGAAAATGACCATGATGTTGGTAAACTGAAGTAATAAGCATCAATGTCATGGTTTCAGAAGTTGGCTATACAGTGATACTGAAATCTTGTCCATCTGTTTTCTTAAACAAATTTTAATCTGGGAGAGAAAGTTTTGATTTCCCTAAATCAGGACATAGAGTTTGAGAATACTGGAAGAAGGTGACTCAGAAGAACAAGAGAAAGGATTTGAATATATGTTGTTGTAGTTCTTTGCTTTTGAGTGTTATTTTTCAGGAAACATAGATCACTCCTAGTACTCACTCTTCCCGCATTTCCAAAAGAGCAATTAGATTGAAAATGCTAGGATTTGGATTTAATCTTACAAGTTCTGCTTTATAAAATATCGTTTGCAACCATAAAGACTGGAAACCTTTTAAAAAGTAAACAGAAAAAAAATCTCATAATCACATGGCTACACATCTGAGGATATAAAAAACCCACCATGTTTTTATCAAGTGTGCTGTAAACTAGAACTGTTACTTTTCTTGGCTGCCTGGTAGCCATACGTTAGTTGCCTGGTTTCAAGATGTCTTTCACTTAACACATGCAGATAATGTAGGAAACATCACTGTATGTTACGACTTTCTTTTGTCCTCATGGTTTTTTTTGGGTTTTGTTTGTTTCTTTCCTGTTGTGTGATTCTTTCAGGTTTAAGCCACAGTTTTAAACACGTGTGAGCAGTGTGGGATGAGAGCCCCTCATTAGTTTTTTATAATAATAAGTTCAAAACCATAATTCAGCAAGAGGCAATGGAAAAGGAGAACTCCACCTTAAAATTGTATATATTGACAATTTGTTGCTATGGCTGTTACTAATGTTAACCTTAAACAGAATCACTAATCCTTTTAAAATAAGAGTAGAAATACAATGTAACTATGTCTAGTTTAGCTTTCTCACTTGTCCTGCCACTTGTCATTTTGCTCTCACGTCAGAGAAATTACTGTATTATTTACATTTGGATCACTCTTAATATACTTCTGTTGCATCAGGTGCTACACAAAAAGTCTTTTTGCCTTTAACTGTGATTTATTTTATGCTTGAAAGTGAAAGTATGTAAAATTTGCTGGTAGCAGAAGTAGTGAAAAATAGCAACATAGAATACATTAAAATGCATTATGTACATTAAGGCTGAAATATGTACATGTAGATGACTGAGTAGACATTTAAAAAAAACCCTATTAAACAACAAACCTTCAGCATACTTATGCTAGTACTTAAAACTATCACATTTATATTTTTGTGTTTCTCACAAGCATGATTGATGTTCCAGCACTGGTGAGAGGGAATGGCAAACTCTGTTAACAGGTTGATGGCACTGGAATTGTCTGAGGTTTCCACTCCGCTTCTTGGGGAGCTGATAAGTCAAAATAAATAATAGGTACTACCTCAAGTCTTACTTGGGGTACTGAGCTCATCCCCACCATGGGCCATCAACAAGACATCATAGTGTTTATAACTTGAAGTATTCTTCCTCCTCCTATGAAATTCAGTATTGCCTAAAAACTTTGTTTTTCTTGTGTCGTTTTTGTGAGCCCAATAGGTAACAATGTTTGATGGAGGTTGAGCCAGACATGTGTTTGCTGCCTGCAGATAGCTGCTCCAGGCATCTATAATTTGTTAAAAATGATTGGGTGGGGAAATTCTGAAGCAATCTTGAAAGAATGCGTGTCGCCTTGGAGGTAATGTGCTAGTGCACTAGAGTAGTAGGTTTATTGTTCCTGGGGCTCATGGTAAGTTGAGTATGTCATCAGGCTGCTGACTTGTATGCCTATCTGAGAAGAAAATGCATTGCTATAAGCCTGGAAAGAAAGTTATCAGCTCAGTAGGAAAGAATTCCACTGCGGAAAGGTGAGCAAAGAGTAGGAGAAGACATTAGTAAATGAGCAACATGTATTGACAGGGACAATGAATGCATTCTGTAAAATGTCATACTAAAATGAAAGGGTTTAAAAATAATTTGCTGTTTGCCCCCTGCAGAATAGCTCTGTTGGAAATTTGAAGTACTTGTAGTTTATCTTAATTTAGAAGCATTACTGGGTTTTGACTGAGGGAGAGGGGAAAAAAAAAAAAAAGCAAAAAACCCTAGCATCTGTACCTTAATGTTACTTGTTTTCTTTGTTGTCAGTGCTTTGCTTCTGCTGTGAAAAAAATAAATTAAAAATAAGACATTTGATCATAATTCAAAGTGGTAGAAGTGTAGGTGATCACATTATGTGTAATTTCTGAAACGTGATTGTCCATTTGCTGCTTCTCATCACACAAGTTGTTAGTTGTGATGGCTATTTCCTTTAATACAAGAGAATTGCCAACAAAATTGGATTAAAAAGGTATTCTTGATATATTTTGAAGAAAACATTGCTACTCTTTGGTGGAAGTAGTAAATTTTAGTGCTTATGCAGAGATGTTTGAGAATCCCAAATGGCTTCAGAAAATTGTATTTAAAGTTTCGATGGTTTTAACCGTGTCAGTTATTCAGAACAGGTACATGGTTTTGCTGCTGTACTCCAAATGTTTCATAAACAAAGCCAACATGGAATTAATTAAGCATTAGATACAACATCATATCCTTAAACCGAGACTACTATAATATGTGCAGTACACATTACTCATTGTGAGTGATTGCCAGTGGAAGAAAAATGGGTAAGGTACCTCAATTTTCAGAGAAGCAACAGGCTAATTTGGATACCATTTATTAAAGCTAGTTATCCACTACTGGAATTCTTCAAGTACCAGTACACTCAACTATTGAATATAAATTTATTAATTAATTTACCAGTATTATTTTTATGTGCTGAAGGATCTTGACTTGTGATATGTTGATGACTAGTTGTAAATGTTTTTAAGAAGAAAAAATCAATAGCATAGGAAACTGATTCTTGGTTGTTTAATTAGTATATGATTATAAACGCTTGAATGAGAGTTATGAAAAGATCAGGAAATTAAGTCTCATTAAAAATAATTGAAAGATCTGTCTATATGAACATGTATGAATATTTTCTTACAAGAAAAAGTGAGACTTTTTTTAACCTTTCTCTAAGGTTAAAAGAAGCAATCATTGGAAACAATTGAAAATAAATTTTCTGGCTGCCTCAGCACATTCTTTCCTAAGTTTTCATTAGGGCAACTCAGTGTGTATTAGAAGTCAGTTTTACAGATGTGTCAGTAGTCACTAACTGGCACCCTGTTTGTACATCAGCAGCCAAACCAATTGATCCAATTAAGCAGGCCTGTCTTTTGTTCTGTTCACAGTTCAGTGCCATTTTGCAAGCTCAATAGTGAGCTGCACTGATCCGTTTGTGTTTGTAATATATGAAGACTCCAGGTAGCTTGGTCAGAAGCTGCAGTGAATCAGTGGTAGGTGGGGAATTTAAATGTTCATCTCCTTGTCCTTTGCTCTCAAGCAATGATGAATAGACCTACTACAGACAAAACTTTCAAAAAAGTATGGCAAAATAAAATAGTTTAGCACTATGTACTAGGTGCTTTATCTCTCATTTTCTTAACCCTCACCTTGCATATTGATACCAGTGAATAGATATGAGTGGACAGTTACAAGTAGTCAGGGTAGTTTTTTAAGTTTCTTGTTTACCTGAACAACTCCTTTAGCCTACCGTGGTGTGGAAACTGTGGTTTAAATTGCAGTTTTTTCACTATAGTGTGTGCTTGACCTTTAAGTAAGGGCTAAGTTCCAGTTAAATCACTTACTAGCCATAATCTGCCCTTTGAATATGTAATCTCAGACTAACTGTGAAGCAGGTGATCTAGCCAAGGAATCCTACTTTGTCCCCATTCTGAGACAGATTTATTCTGAACATTTCCCATATAAAACCATATAGTGATTTGCCTAGATTTGATCTAGAACTAGTAGAAAGGCTATAGAATTGAAAGAATGAATGAATCTAGTCCTTCAGCACAGAGAAAGCAACATGTTTACTCCAAGTAAATAGCTCTTGATGGAATTACCAAACGGTATTGAAGTTCTTCGTATTGCATTTTGTCTTTTAGCAGAACTGTTTAAACATATAAAAGAAGGGGTGTGTTTTCAGCTAAAATATTTTGTACTTTGTTTTAAATTTAAGCTATATGCCACATTTTATTTTGGTTGTTAACACGTTCTGGGTTAGCTGATAAATAATTCAGGTACTTGGAGGTAGATTTTGAAAAGTGTTCACGTGGTATGGATAGATGTCCAGTTATACTGTTCATGTGTTGGATAATCTGTACAAAAAGCAAGCTTGTTCTGCAGCATGGCAATGCTGTGTATGAATAATGCATGCTTTTTTTTTCAGATGAGGTTTTTGACTGAACTCAGATAATACATTTGGCATTGAGATTTCATTTGTACAGTATACATACAGAGAATTCCATATTCTGAAATGACAGGTTTTTTCTTCATTTAAAAGAGGACATCTCTATCTTCACTTATCTTAAAACATTTTAATAACTGAGACTACCAATTATGTTTTATAGGATTTGATTTTTATGCTAAGGCCTTATCAAAAGCTTCTAATAAGGTGCTTTCTGCTGAGTTAATGATATGTTTTAGATGGCATTTCTTATACCTATCTTCAATAGACATTCAGACAGTGTGATTGTAATAATCAAGTTTCAATCAAACCATACTTAGTATGACAAATATTGCGTGAGATTGTAATGCAGGTATTCGTGCTCTTGATAAAGGGCTTAATTTGACTCCTAGCAGAGACGGAGAACTACTGTTGATTTTTATATCAGAATGCAAAATAGCTCTTATTTGTCATGTATGAGGGGAAATTGCTTCTTAATTAAAACTAAATAAAACATTCACTCCAAGGTTTTATGCAGTAATACAGAAAGTATCACGTTGTGTCGCAAATGTGTTCTTATACAGGTCTTTAAAGGTTCAGTTAGCAATTACTCTTAACAAACTAAAACACTTCTTAAACAGCTGCTTAAAACATCATTTGTTTGTATCCTTCCTGGATTGTTTGTAGATTTACTGTACCCCAAAGCTCACTTGTTGTTTTTCCCTCCCCCAAAGCAAATGTCAAAGAAATATTTGAACAAACCCTTATTCATCTTCAAATCCCCTTCAACTGGGACTGTGAGTTCATTCGACTGCATTTTGGACATAACAGGAAGAAGCATCTTAACTATTCAGAGTTCACTCAGTTTCTTCAGGTCAGTTATTAACCTTCTTCCAAAGTAGAACTGAAATTCATTTTCACTTCTAGCAATACACTAATACCATTATAAATTTTGAGTTTATTATGGTAGTGATAATTATTATCTGATACTAATCCTGACAGTTATGATGAACTGTTATTTCTCCATACCAGTTCTGTAAGCAGCGTGTACTCATTGTGCTTTAACCTGAACACCATCATATAAAAGAATTGGACTAAATACCCTGTTCATGAAATTAACCATTTTACTGATTGCTGTTAAACTGCATGAGGGTCTACTTTTTCTGTCATAGGAATTTAATAGCAAAACTAACCTCTACCAGAGAAAGATAGCATCCTTAATATAACCAGTTGTTATTAACCATATAACCTCCCATATAAAAGTTTTAGCTTCTTTAACATTTCTTTACTTTTATAAATGTTGTCCTAATACTACCCTTTTTTCTCTCACATATAATGGGAGTTTGGTTTTAAATGCAGCCAACTTAAGTGGGAGGCAAATCTGCTTTCCTGAGATGTTGCTGAAGCACCCTCTAGGGATCAGGCTTTAAAGGATTTCACTCATAGAGCTGGACTTTGTGCTAAGCCAAGTTATTTACAGTAAAGGCATATTATGAATTGAACATTAGACTAGAAGGAAGTAAAGGAAGATATCAGTTATAAAGGATGGAGGAAGAGAGAAGTAGGAGAAATGTACATTATAATTCATGAGAAAGGAGTTCACAGAATTGTAGGTAATTGTACTGAATTCCATAAATTAACATTCAGTGGTCACCCTATGATATAACTTAAGAGTTTCTGTCTAGCAGAAAAACAGATTATGCACTTCCAGAGCCGGCCTTTGGTACAATATAGTTTTGGACATACTGTCTTAAAGTAGGGAGTGATAGATGTGCTTTGATATATTCTGTAATTGTTGTCCAGGATAAAAATAGATCATAGAATCATAGAATAGTTTGGGTTGGAAGGGACCTTTAAAGGTTATCTAGTCCAACGCCCCTGCAATGACCAGGGACACCTTCAACTAGATCAGGTTGCTCAAAGCCCCATCCAACCTGACCTGGAATGTTTCCAGGGATGGGAAATCTACCACCTCTCTGGGCAATCTGTTCCAGTGTTTCACCACCCTCATCGTAAAAAATTTCTTCCTTATATCTAGTCTGAATCTACCGTCTTTTAGTTTAAAACCATTACCCCTTGTCTGATTGCAACAAGCCCTACTAAAAAGTCTGTCCCCATTTTTCTTATAAGCCCCCTTTAGGTATTGAAAGGCTGCGATAAGGTCTCCCTGGAGCCCTCTCTTCTCCAGGCTGAACAACCCCAGCTGTCTCAGCCTGTCCTGGTAAGAGAGGTGTTCCATCCCTCTGATCGTTTTTGTGGCCCTCCTCTGGAGCCACTCCAACAGGTCCTTGTCTTTCCTGTACTGAGCTGTATCTAGATCTAGAGCAGATTCTAGAAAAATGTATCTAACTAGACAGGATCTGAAGTCTTTATTGTAAATTGAGATACTGGAGTTTGGCACAGTCTTTCAAGGTATAACTTGATGTTACTTTCAAGGAATAAACTGTGTCCTGCGTTTGATACTACATATTTTAAGTGATCCCAGGCACAAATTCAGGACACTAGTGCATAAAAAACCCAGATTGCTAGTGACAAGAATCTTTTTGTTGGGAACCCAGGGCAAAGTGATAAAAATCTTCTGGTTTTATGTTTATTGCTCCAAGACACTGTCATGTAAGATACAGTAAACTCTTTACTGTCATCATATAATAAAAACTCTTAGTAGAGAAGGGTAGTATGGGCTGCGGTAATTTCGATGTGTACGCAAATTGGATATTGTTGTCCCCCTTTTAGATCAGATTGTTTTTCTTAATTGGTGTAACAGCATCTTGTGGGGTTTGGTACTTGGATCAGAGCAGGCTTATTGCACCCTGGTCTGGAAAACCTTGATCTTGAGGTTATAAGAGTTGAGAAATTACTGTAAAGGTGATATAAGCTTGATAGTGTGCCCTCTTCTTATTGTCTGTCAGATCATGGGTATTATTTTAGCTGCTTCTAGAAGTCTGAATGACAGCTGAATGTGCTTTGTTGTTTGCTTGAATAGAAGGAAACAACTTTTTCTGGACATAGAATTTACAACCATCATTATTATCTTGAGGTTAGGTTACTGCAGTGTGCTTTATATGAAGGTTTTTACAGATTGTATAGGAGTTTTAAATTGCCTGAAATGAGTGACCATTTCTGACATTATGGGAGGTAGCTGTTGGGGGCAATCTAAATCTATATTATATAATTTTCACTGTTCTCCTGTTTATTTTCAAGTACTTTTCAATGAGTTAGCTTATAATAGCCCAGTCATATTTCATCTTGGATGTGTAAGAGATCACCTCACTTTGAGTCTTCAAGATCAGTATCAGAAGTTTCTCTAGCAGTTAAGTATTTAATAAAGGAATAGGTAGCAGACAGGACATGGGTATGTGAAGTTTATTTCCCAAATCATTTAGTGAAAGTGTGTATTTCTTTACAGTTGAATTGAGGCTTTTCTTTGACAGAGGAATGAATCTGTGGATAGAATCAATATGCAGACTTCTTGTTTTATTTGAGCTGGCCTTTAGCTTTAAACTGCAGTTGTGCTGTGGTCTACGTGTGCAGACGTATAGAGGCATGCTGTGAGAATATGAACTTAATGTTTTGTGAACAGTGAGTTACAGAATTTGCTTCTAATCTGCTATTTCTGAATATTCATTCTAGGAGCTGCAGTCAGAACATGCAAGACAAGCCTTTGCATTGAAGGACAAAAATAAGAGTGGTATGATAACTGGGCTGGACTTCAGTGACATCATGGTTACCCTTCGCTCGCATATGCTAACTCCATTTGTAGAAGAAAATTTAGTTTCAGTAAGTGTAAAGAAAAATGCCTTGAATTCAGAATTTGATAACTGTAATGTTTTAAGATGTTACTGCTTCTCTCCCACTTTGTTTTCTCCTACCTGTTTATCACTGCCTTGGTGCTAGAGATTATCACCCTCATAACAGAGTGGGCAGGGTGAAACATGGCAGCACTCCTTGGCTTCAGTAGTGGAAAAGTTTGGCAGTCTGGTTTACATGCTTAAAGTGCCATTGGAAACAGTTTGACTTAGTCTACTATACTTTCCACTAAAGCAGGGCAAACTGTGCTTGGCACAGAAAGAACATTAATTTAGGACAAAAGCACCTAATTCTTATATCTGAATATATGATAGATCTCCAAAGGTGGAGGCTACTTACAGTTTTGTCCTTTTATATACTCTTACATTCTTTTCTTTTTCAGATCAGAATTTGGAAAATCAGTATGTAGATTCTAGAGGTACAATGGTTATGGCTGTGATAGTCTGGCAAGATCTGTAGGTAAAGTAATGACATAAAAGTTATAAACTAAAAGTATATAGTATAAAAAGTATATAAGAATGAAAGTTATATGAAGTAATAACTTTTATCTTATTATTTTACCTGTAAATCTTGCCTAGCCTAACTAATAAGGCATACTGTCTTTCATAAAATTTATAGTATCTACTAACTTTAGACTTTGAAATAAATGGTCACTGCTGTATATGATGCAAGAAGTCAGTGCCTTTCAAGTAGCATTTTCATGCATTTCTGTATTAAAAATGGAGAGTATTAGAAAAATACTCAGTGACACATTTAGTTTATCAGATAAATTGAATAATAATCTACTTATGTGTTTATTTCCTGATTATTTCCTAATGTTCAATTTTTACAAAAAAATGGTATCCTGTCTAGTAATTCTCCCCTCATGTTTCTATTAAAAAGATCTTAAAATTACAGGAATAGAAAGATATCTTTAATTCTTTCCTTATTTGCCCAAATGAATGTTTCTATAATTTCTGATAAGATGTTGTAGAAGGGCTTAAGGCACTTAACTGCATTCATTTAATTTTTAAAGGTAGCTGGTGGAACTGTTTCACATCAGGTCAGCTTCTCCTATTTCAATGCATTTAATGACCTTTTGAATAACATGGATATTGTTAGGAAGATATACAGCAATATAGCAGGTACAAGAAGAGACGTCGAAGTCACAAAAGGTAAAGTATATTTCCTATGCTTCATTAATTTTTTAGTTCTGTCCAATTTGTAATCTAGCGTTGCATATGGGTTGAGGCAAGTCAGAAGCTGCAATAGTATGCAAGGTTAGGGCTACTGTGAAAGTGTTTAAAGGGTGATTTTCATCCTCACAGGTTAGTAATGATTTTCAGCTAGCTCATTAAGAAGAAGAATTGGGATTCTGGCAGGACCTGTGTTGGCTTTACTAGTTTGAATGGTAACTGCAAGTCAGTGTATCATTGAGGATTTTACTACTCCTTGAAACGGATACATTGTTGCTTAGAGATAGAAAGTTCCTAGGGAATGTGATAGAATGGGTTAAGTTTGAAAATCCAATCATCAGTAATCTCCATGTTGTTTTAGCTCTAGTTACTTTATCCATGATTAAATCTTTTTTAGAAAAATGATAATAATTTATAACTTCTTAATGCTTACTTGCCTGAGTGGTTTTATATATAGTTTATGTCTGTTAGGGCATAGCTAATCCCTGCACATATGAAAGGTTGCCATATTTCAGTCTTGCCACAGGTATGAGTGGATTGCATTTGTAGCCATTTTATGGCAGATTTTATCACTGATTTTATTACCTGTATGGATGGGACCAGCCAAGCCTATGTGTGGTAAAAAGCATGCTAAGTTCCTTTTTTTTTTTTTTTTTTTCTTTCTCTGTTTGGCTTATGTTAATATGCTCTGCATACTTTCGTCTCTAAAGTAAAGCATAAAATGCCTGTCCTCATCCTCTACACTGTGCTAACAAATTGCCTAGCAATGTTTTTTTGGTGCAGATGCATAAATACATTCTTGCTTGGATTTGTGTCGTGAAAAAAAGCTACTGTGTTTTCACTGCTCAGACTTGTTTACTGTAGCTTGCCAATTATGTCATGAACATGTCATGTAATTTGGCTAGATGAATACCTAAGCTTGGGGTCATTCAGAGCTAGGAAAGAAAGAAATTTGGACATGATGGCAATAGATGAGTCAGTTGCCCTTAAAGCTGTGAATAATGGACCATTATTCTGGTCTCGTGATTCTTGTTTCTGAAGTTCTGCAAAACACAAATTGTGGGTGTGGTTTTATTAAGCTTGATAATAAGAGGATTTTTGTTGACTCTGATGAATTCTTACTGTAAATCACAGTTGTGGAGTTAGACTTGCTCTGTGTTGCAAAGGCCTGTTTCATGATAGATGTTCTCCTAAAGATATCTTTTTCCTTTGCATTATGGATTTTGTTCCTCGGTGATAGATTTCGTTTTTATGATATGAAGTTATTTGTGAGCATTTAAAGAGGAAATTTGACAAATAATACAATTGCTTTATTTCTCTTTCCCTTTTAAATCCAGAGGAATTTACCCACTCTGCAATCCGCTTTGGACAAGTTACACCACTGGAAATAGATATCCTCTACCAACTGGCAGATTTATACAGTGTTACTGGGTAACATAATAATTAATTTTATCATTTTACAATCATTATTTTGCTGTTTTCTGTGCGAAAACTACTAATTTTCATCTTAATTTTAAGAAGTTCTGTGTTCCATTGTATTTCGTTACAGTAATTTATTCAGTGTAAACTGACTTTGCTGTATGCATGGGTTTTGTAAGTGAATTATGTATATCATGCACAATTAATAATTATCATATTACAGGTATACACATAAAATAGCAGAATACATTACAGTATTCCCAAAAGGCTACAATGCATTGGTATTGCTAACTTTAAGTATTGATGATGTTTTGCGTGGGTCTTTAACACATGTGAAATCTTAGGTAGGAATGCCTAGAAATAGCTTAATTTGTGTATTATATGCCTTATTACTAGCAATCAAGAACTTGCTTCTGAATAATCCAAGTTCCCTTTATCTCCACTTGCGAGCTACAAGAAGAGAATGCGTTCTAACTCCAAGCATTCTTTACTGCAGTGGAACAAACTTCTTAGATGTGCATTCAAATATGACAGGTGGTTTTTTTTTTAAACTCAGGATGTATTTTGTGGGGTGTGGCCAGGAATACTGTATTGAATATGTTTGATGTTTTATCTAACAGTAATTTGCTTTCTATCTCTTGTGGAAAGGCGCTTAACTTTGGCAGATATTGAGAGGATAGCACCGCTGGCTGAAGGCGCATTACCTTACAACTTGGCAGAACTCCAGAGGCAGGTAGGTAGAAGAAGAATAAAATTGTTAAGTTAAGTGTTTACATGTACTTGCATATGAAAAATGAGAATAATACACTTTAAATATTAGATTCCCAACAAGTGAAACATGCTGTGTGTATCACTATAAGGATAGAAATGGGGCAGACTATTGAGCATGTGTCTAAACAAGATATTAAATGTCATATTGAAGGATGGCCTGTTCAGATATGAGCAGGTATAAATACTTGGATTCTTTACTGTGAATACATTTGTTCACTCCTGAAAAGGCCTTTCACTTCACTAAGTAATCTAACTTTGTAATTATATAATTATTTTTAGATAGTGTGGTGGGTTGACCCTGGCTGGATGCCAGGTGCCCACCAAAGCCACTGTGTCACTCCTCTCCTCAGCTGGGCAGGGAAGAGGAAATATAATGAAAGGCTCATGGGTTGAGATAAGGACGGGGAAATCTCTCAGCAATTACTGTCACAGGCAAAACCGACTCAGCATGGGGAAATTAGTTTCATTTATTACCAATCAAAATCAGAGTAGGGTAATGAGAAAATAAAAACTAAATCTTAAAACACCTTCCCCCCACCTCTCCCTTCTTCCCAGGCTTAGCTTTACTCCTGAATTCTCTACCTCCTCCCCCCGCAGCGGCGCAGAGGGACGGGGAATGGGGGTTGGGGTCAGCTCATCACATGTTGTCTCTGCCGCTCCTTCCTCCTCGGGGAGGACTCCTCGCACTCTTCCCCTGCTCCAGCATGGGGTCCCTCCCATGGGAGACAGTCCTCCACGAACTTCTCCAATGTGAGACCTTCCCACGGGCTGCAGTTTTTCACGAACTGCTCCAATGTGGGTCCCTTCCACAGGGTGCAGTCCTTCAGGCACAGATTGCTCCAGCGTGGGTCTCCTGTGGGGTCACAAGTCCTGCCAGAAAACCTGTTCCAGCGTGCGCTGCCCACAGGGTCACAGCCTCCTTTGGGCATCCACCTGCTCCGGTGTGGGGTCCTCCACGGGCTGCAGGTGGATACCCGCTCCACTGTGGACCTCCACGGGCTGCAGGGGGACAGCCTGCCTCGCCATGGTCTTCCCCACAGGCTGCAGGGGAATCTCTGCTCTGGTGCCTGGAGGACCTACTTCTTCTCACTCTCCTCTCTCCGCTGCTATTGTTCTGTGCAGGGTTTTTTTTTTCCCCTTCTTAAATATGTTATCCCAGAGGTGCTACCACAGTCGCTGATGGGCTTGGCCTTGGCCAGTAAAGGGTCTGTCTTGGAGCCGGCTGGCATTGGCTTTGTCGGACATGGGGGAAGCGTCTAGCAGCTTCTCACAGAAGCCACCCCTGTAGCCCCCCCCACTACCAAAACCTTGCCACGCAAACCCAATACAGATAGTAAAAAATACGAGTATTAAATGCAAGGTTTATAAATGTGTTCTTTTTTGAAAAATTGGGTGAAATGATTGGCTTAACCATTTATCTAAAATGATCATTGAATCTTACTGTACTTGTTGGCTATCTACCCTAGACAGTAGAAGGGGAATTCATATTTATTGGAACTGATGAAAAGGGTAGAACTGGAAGATGAAAAATAGCAGAGTAGAATGTTAACCTTCTATTTCACCAGACCTTCACATTCATGTTTGCTAGCTTTGCTTTTATCATAGTTTCCTTATTAAACATATACATGTATAGTACAGCATAAAAGCCCCAGGCTGTGCAGTAGGATTTTGAATATAAATTACTTCTAACTTCAGTGGCTCTTTTTACAACTGTAAGAACTGCAGCTTTAGGACCAAACATTATGCAGGTGTTTAGCTTATGTTTAGACTTTCTGCCACAGTTACTGGGTACTATTCGGCTCACTTCCAGTATAGCCTTGAAAGTTTGTGTTAAAAATAAATCTAGATTTTGGGGTCTTATCTTCACTGTATTTGTGGTTCAACATATAATCTGAGAGGTTTACTTTTGCAAGGAGATCTGTCTAATGCTAGTTAAGTTGTGAATTAAGTTTTACCTTAACCTTCATCTAAGGTTGAATCTAAAGTTCTGCTGATAGTGAAACTTGCAACATAATGGGGCATCTGCTGTGCTGCTAGTAGAAATATTCCATTCCATTCCATTCCATTCCATATATATTCTACGGAAATCCTTTTTCTGAAGCATTTTGTAGGTGACTGCTTTCATGAGAGTAATTGAGGGGGAATTAACTCAACTGTTAATAATGTAAAGATAATAATGCACTCGGGGAAAATCCTTGAAATGGTTACACAGCAGATTCAGAAAGGAAGACATACATACATGGTGAATTACATAGTTGCATAATCATAAAATACATAGGCTGGTTGCACATTGGTGTTTATTATGCGAAACAAAAAAAATAGGATCTGATCTTAAAAGTTTCTGGTGTGCAATATTTTATTTATTTTTAGTGTCAGAACTTCATGAGAAATTGCTATTCCACACAGAGCTGTACATTCTTGAATAAGCTTTACAAGAAAATACAATAGTGTTCATCCGAACCAGTGTATTTTGCTCCAAGAATGTCTCCACATCCCCTTTCCCTCTGTAATACACAAAGGGAAGTAGGATATCTAATTCTTAAGATCTTGTATGAGCATATCCCATAGTTCTGACTAAATACATCTTTGTGTACTCAGTCGATAAATACAATTTTTCATCCTGAGGGTTCCCATTTTCTTACAATGTCTAAACAAGTCAAATTCTCTCTCTTTCAGTCTGTGTTAGGAGTTCATGGGGTGTCTATCAAGACATCTGAGGGTTCTGATTCCCAAGTGGGCATAACCTGGCTTGGGCTGGGTTCTGCTCCCAGCTGTCCACACCTTGCTTGGTATGCAGACAGCTGAGCTTCTTAGGAATCAACTGAATAGCCACATCTTGCATTTATGACAATCTGATGCTCATGATGAGTTGCGTTAAAATGCTGCTCCTGAATTGCAGTGATTCAGCAACTGATTCCCAAGTAGCTCAGCCATCTGGGCTGTTGGGGCCGGAGGACATGCAGCTAGCAGCGATACCTTTGTGAGCCATTCCAAGCTACACTGTCTCTTACAAAGTGAAATTCAAATTCTCTACCCTGGTGATGCTAGTGACAGTACTGCTGCAGGGTGGTCTGAGATGAAGTGGCAGCACAGTGACAAAATCACCTGTGCCTTGTTCACCACATGAATGTCCTGTATTTGCCAGTGGATGAGGGGTCCCAGGAGTCTTATCTGAAAATGAAAGTTTGCATTTATAAAGCATTTTATTTCTTAGCTCACTTTTTATGCATATTGCAGAGAGGTTCCTTTAAGCAGTTATGTCCACTATAAAAATCTAGGGTGTGTATCAGTGACAGGGAAATCTTTAATTAGTTCAACTGTTATGGTTGAAAAATTGTCCTATACGGAATATAGCAAGTCTTCCATATGTGGGACTTCGAGTGTATTTTGGTTACTGTTGTTACAGGTGGATTTGGTCATTCAGTTCTCTTTCAAACAAATTGGTCCTAAAACACAGTATCTGGTCTGTCCTTAATATTACTGCTCTGTTGTCCTTGGGTGATAAGACATATCTGAGTCAATGAAGTGAGTGTCCAAAACCTACTTGGTGGTAACTGTCTTCCTATGGATTCCTGAAGACAAGAATGATGGAATGGTTTGACACAGAAATGTGTATACAGTGTTTATCCAGACTAATGAGAAGTATTTTTGATGAAGTTTTGTAATTGCATTCCTAACCACCAACTTTGGTTTTAATAAGTGTCTTTGTGGCACTCACCTTTCTGAGTAGACAAAATAGTGACTTGTTTTATTTTACACTTCAGAATTACCTTTGTAGGTTGGCACTGTTATAAAATGAGCTCACTGATAAAAGTTTCACTCATCACTAGAACAGAATATACTCTTTTAACACTCTTGGAATAATACATTATATTTTCATCCTATTCTATGTTCTGTGTCAAGAGTACAGCAGAAAGCAAAGTAATTTAATTTTCTTTGATTTATAAGGAACAGTCTTTTACTAGACCTTATCCTAACTGAACCTTATGTTACCTTATTTAACTGTATTGACAAAATGAAAGATATCCCTTCATGGAAGAGAGAATATCATCCCAGTGAGGTCCAGCTGTCCCTGGAAAATAAAAACAAGTCTGTAATCACTTTTTTATAATTTAAAAATTCCTTCTTAAAGGAAAATCTAAATTTTTACATAAAGTCACTCTGTGTGGTGGAATGTGGTGGAAATGGAAATTAGCCTGCTTTCAACCATGTTTACTTTGTTGTCAATCTTTTCATTGTGTAAGGTTTTCTTAAAGCCTAGCAGCTGAATATCCTATGGAGATGACAGCTACAGTAATTTTCTGTTTATAAATATTCATGATTTGAAAGCTATAGCATTAATTACATTGATTTACATATCCATCTGAACACACAAGTAAACTGCAAACTTTGTGAACACTTATTTAATAGTATAAAAGTGACATTTCCTTCAGAAAGAATTTAATTTTTAACATCCAGTGACGTGTTCATTAAGATTAATGTCTGAATGTAATGATCAGATTTTGATGAGAACTGTGTGGAGCTTAGAAGAAAAAGAATAACCTTAGAACAGCTAAAAGGAAGCAGGTATGCTAAACTATGAGAATTTTTTTGTGGAGTGAAGAACCAGTCCTGCTTCTAAGCCTTTTTGGGGTATTATTATGGCATGTGTCTTTTATTTACACGAATCAAAAAAATATCTCTGTATTTCAGAATTTTTTTTGGTGGTTATTTTGTTTTTATTGTGATTTTTGGTTGTTTTTTTTTGATAGGAAAACTTAAGTGTTTTGAGAATAGTGAGGACATTCTTCAGATTTATTGCTTCTGTTTGCTTGTAAAGGCAATACATTTGATTTATACTTTTTTATGCTGGTTCTCATGTGCAGTTTATAATTTTGGTGCTACCTAGAGTTTCTCTGTTCTTCTCTGTTAAGCTATATTGTTGGGGGAGGAAAATGTCTTGTGGAAGGAAATGGCGGTAGCTGTATCTTTTTCTTCTGTGGAAAAACTGTATAAAATATAACTCATGTTTTTTATGGGTAATGATCTCATCTTAATCTCATAGGCTTTTGTCCTATGTTGTGTACGTACAGTGTAACATTATGCAATAAAGGCAGGTTTTTCCATATCCAGTGTAATACCAGTCCAAACAGAGTAGCTTATACTGAGGTACATGCTGTCTTTTCTGTGGGTATTCCACCTTTCAGAGCTTCAGTAAGCTGAACGTAACTTAGTTAAGAAGCCTTGGTGAGTTAGCTGTGAAATGTGCATGCAATAATCTTTGTGGAGAATTCATAATGTGCATCAGAGCAAAGCCTCCTGTAGCAGTCTGAGGTCTGTATATGTTCCAGCTGTGCTGTCAGGAGCATATCTGCTAATGATATAGGGTGCTTTTAAGAAAAACAGGTTTGTGTTTGGGAGATGTGCTTTGGTATCTGCTTTAATATGGAGTTTAACAGTTAATATCTAGGCCACTTATATAGCCCAGATAAGTTATACTGCATAATATAAATTCTTCCCTAATCCCCTTATTTATGTTTGGAAGAAAATTTGGCCCATCTCGCATACTTTATAGTGCAAGTTTATGAACACTTACATCTTGTTTATCAGTTACCTTGTTTCTGATAAGTGTCTAATAATATGATTGAGTCTCTGCAAATATTTTCTGTGCAGACTTGTATTTATTTAGAACACTAATACCTTTATAGTAGTGTATGTGATTGAAGTGAGTGAGGTCATCATTTTATCTGTAAATTATCAACTGCCTGAAAAAGTATTCTGAAGAATACTTTGGGGAATAATTGACTTTTTGCTTGTTTTGAAGACATGAAATGTCATGTTTATGCTATGTATTAATGTGTATGTTATCTTAAAATATATCCTGTGCTGATAGATGCTGTCTGTGAGATGCTGAATTCGTTTTGAGATACTGAATTTTATTTGAGCCAAAAGGGGATTCCATGCCTTATAAATTCAAAGGCAACAGAGTGGAAAGTAGCAAAGTTGTTTTGAGTTTCTGTCTACTTTTTCTTGACCATAGTTGTTTCAGTTATACTAGGAATACATAAGGAAGAATATTTTCTGAAAAGAGTATTTGAAAAATGTGTTTCATTCATTAGATGTAATAGAAGTTCTGTAGTAATTTTTTTTTTCCCTCAACCTAAAGCTACCAATTTTTATCACATTCTTTCTGTAACATTAGAAAAGCCAATTCACTGGCATCTTTGTTTTCCCATGCAGATTTTCAAGCGGTTTTTTGTTTTGTTTTTTTTTCTTTTCCTCACACAGCAATCTTTTGGAGAGTTAGGCAGGCCTATCTGGCTCCAGGTAGCTGAGTCAGCTTACAGGTTCACTTTGGGTTCAATTGCTGGAGGTGAGTAATATTTCTGGTTTCTGTTTCAAGCTTGTGTTAGTTTAACACTGTCCTGTGAGACTACTTGATCTCATCTAAGGTGCATTTCTTGGTTATACACGTGCAGAATTGGAAGGTGGAACCACTTTTGGTTGTGCCATTCCCTTTCTTTCTGTATTGCTTTTGTTCTAGTATCCCTCCACAGTCCTCTGAAACTCTACTCCAGTAACGAATTTCCTTACTGGTAATTCAAATTCGTTTTCTTTGCTCTACACGGCTTGTTTTATGTAATAGTGTAATCCATTCTCCTTGAGACTTTTTTCTAGACTTTCAATATTGTCCTTTCTTACTTCCAAGATAGCAGAGATCTTACCAGCTTATATGTACTTTGTGTTTAAATAAATGTTGTAGAAAATCATCATAATAATTATATACTGCACCAACAATGATGTTGCAGAAATAATACTCCAAATGCTTTCTTACAGCTGTTGGTGCTACTGCGGTGTATCCCATAGACCTGGTGAAAACACGTATGCAGAATCAGCGCTCCTCTGGTTCAGTTGTAGGAGAGTTGATGTATAAAAACAGCTTTGACTGCTTTAAAAAGGTTTTGCGTTTTGAAGGCTTTTTTGGTCTTTACAGAGGTAAGCAAATAAAAAAAAAAAAATATATCTCAAGTCAGGGGTTTTCTGCCCTCTGGATTTTTATTTTTTTTATACCTCAACACCTAGTTTCTTAAAGGAAAACCAGGAAACTTGATATCATGTACAATTTTGCTTCTGTTTCATAGAGCTCAGTATTTATCTTCCCTCGAGCATTGTTCATCATAAAAAATTGCTGGGAAAAACTGGGTGTTTTTTTGTTGTTACTGCTTTGCTTCTTGTTGCTTAGGTTGTTTAAAGTCTTTAATTTTTGGGGTGTGAGTGTTGTGGATATGATTGTTTTCTCATAAACTGAGGATTGTAACTCTTGGCTGGGGGCAAACATCAGGAGCAGATTAGCATCTGAGGAATAAAGATCCATTTTACTGCAAATATTTTTTGTTAAGAGACAAAAACCAGTCATTTTGAAATGTACCTGTTAAACTGGATGCCAGATGTTATGCCTCATACTTTTGCAGGTAGTGGGACTCATTTTATGATTTTACTCCATGAACAAGAAATTGCATCCTGCTGTTATATTATGTTGCTCTATTTTACTTTAAAATATCAACAGTGGAACTCATAAAAATTATAATTTAAAAAAAGAAAAAAACCTCCACTAAAATACAGGTTAAGAATTCAAAGCAACTTTTTATCAGTTTTATCAGTTAGACTGGAAGCTATCTTATATCTTGTTTTAGTTTAGGAGAAGATTCTGAAGGGTTTTTATCACATCAATAAGGTGACTTATATAGAGGGTACATGCTAGCCAGTCCTCTGAAATTGATATTTAGTTGAATTCGCTATTTTTAATTGTCATTTCACATGACTTAGTGAAATGCACAATTTTCATAAGGATCAGTAAGGTATTTATTAATTGGCACACTTTTTTTTTAGTTGGAGCAAAGTCTCTCACTTCTGTGATGGTCCCAGCTTTTTTTTCTGCTTTGCAGTATGTTCTGTCAATGAAGATGATGGACAGTGTCCTTTAAGGACAGTATCTGAGAAGTTTTTGCATGTGAAAGTCTGTGGATTCTGGCTAAAGAGTTTTTTGTAATCTTGCAGGATTTTGCTATGCGAGTGAGTAGAGGGAGGAATATGTCAGTGAAAATGTTAATGAAATAGGTGTAATCTCTGTAAATTACGTCTTACTGGTAAATTGGTTTCCTTTTTTGTTGCTAAATCTTTCACAAAAGCAAATACAGCTTGAGTTACATTTGTGAGACTATTTCTACAGTGCTGTTCCACAGTACTGTTTTCTTTCTTTTCCTGTTCCCCCCTAACCACATGGTTTTGCACAGCAGCTTCTGAAACTGATCATTTGTCATTTTTATTTTTGTTTTCTAACCTTTCTCAAATGCTTTGAAATCAAGGATGATTCCATTGATAAGTTAAAAGCAATGCTTTACACTTGAGAAAAAAATGTGCTTGTTTGAAAAAATGTCAGTTTGTTAAACCTTTTAATAATCTGTTTAATAATTGTCTTCGAGATTGTTTACCATAAGAAATTAATGTAGCTGTTTTGAAAATGTTACAGTTAATGGCCAGCATGTTTAAGGTCTTGGACTCATAGAATTAGATGGTCTGTGGAAGTGTATTAAACTAAACTACAGAAACATTTATGGAGTTGACTGGGGGTCTGTCACTGGGTTCTTATGTTCCCGAGCTGGATTATCCTAATTGTATTGTAGTATAGCGGTACAATGTAGTTGTTTTCTGCAGTTTAAAAAATATAACAATGCAGACTGGAAAGTTCATATTATTAAATAAAAACTTACAATTTTTGCTCAAAAAAATTATGACACACTTGAATCCTGGCATCCAGCTTCAGAACTAATGAAGTATCTTCTAAGGTCCCTCACTAGACCATGTAGGGTCTCAGGTTTTCTGGCACACCAAACGTGTGTGCCCAATGAGTTCAGCTGCATAAAAGGGAGTGGGGGGGTTGTCTTGTGGTGTTTTGTCTGGTAGTTTGGGGTTTTTTAAAGAGTAGGCACTGCAGAACTGCGCTGGGAGGGCAGCATTTCTTTTTGTTATTGTCAACCTTTCTTTGTATTTAATAACTACCTTTCCTCAGCATAGTAAGTCTGTAAATTGCACAGAAAGTACTACGTTGGAAGAAAACACTACACTGCATATATTAACTGCTGCACTTTCTATTTAGGTGTGTTTGCTCTGAACTTCCTTTTAAGGAATTAGTATAAAAATTCTGCAGGCTCGGTACTTTTGGTAATTTTGAACACTTTTAATGAATTTTTAGCTATTATTGTTTTCACTTAATGGATATTTGAAAACTGCATTGATACAGTTTTGTTGCTGTCACCTGATATTTGATATAATTAGCATGGGATTTTTTGTTAATTAGCTTGCAAACACTTTTGACACACTGGTATTCCCTAACCATGGAATAACATTAGGAAATGAACACTTCTAATAAAAATAAGCCTTTCGAGTTTTATAATCTATACATATGCCAAAATGATTGCGGAGAAAATGAAATTAAAAATAACAGATACTGTTATAAACTTGTATGCTAGGAAGTTAAGACTGCCATCTACTGATTTTTTTTCTTAAACCTATTAGTTCCTAGAAAAGTATACGTGGCTTTGTCAAATGGCAGTTCATTTTGATAGTAGCTATATTCCAGGAGCAAGGACCTTTTCAAAAGCGGTTTTTGTCCAATAATGCTTCCTCTTGGTGAGATAAAAAATACTTAGTAGTAATAGGGTTTAAAGAAGTTCATGCTACCATGTTGGACTGAACAAGAGAAAATCCTTTATATACTTAGTTGACTGGAGCCTTCAGAAAACTCGGGTTAGTAAGTCAAGTAGAAATGAGTTGATAATTTATCATAGTTATGTGTATATCTCACAGTTACTCTCCTATTTAAAAAAGTAATTGCAAGCTTTATGGGAAAATGATATTAAGGGGCTAAAAAAGTCAAACGAACTCTTAATGTAGTAGACATATCCAAGGTGTATGTTCAGTCCTTACCTTTTTTTTCCTTCTGTACAGCAACAACATCAGGCTTGCCTTGGTTGTGGAAGGCAGATCTGGTCACCCTTTTCATTACCATTTTCAACAGAAATCTTAATATAAAATTGTATTGGTATGAACATGCAGTGCTCTAGCAGCATCATATACACAAATGCCATCCACCTCAAAGGATATCCCATGTGCAGAAAGGCATTTCTGTAGAGCTCTTATAAAATACTAGTTTCTATATTAGGAAGATAATGTTGCCTTATGATATCTTTGTTTCTATAGGTTTGTTACCACAGCTGATAGGTGTTGCTCCAGAAAAGGCTATTAAGCTAACTGTACGTATCTTTTTTTTTCCCCCTCCCCCGGCATCCTTTTGTTTGTTAACATACACAGGATTTATTTCCTAAAATATGTGAAGGATGACCACTTACAAGCACTCTAATATATATGGTTACGGATGTACTTGATATATGTTAATAAGGAGGAAAAATAACTTAAATTTGGGTGTAATGTATTGTATCTTTATTAGGTTAATGACTTTGTCAGAGACAAATTTACTAAGAAAGATGGTTCCATTCCACTCCCTGCAGAGGTCCTTGCTGGAGGCTGTGTAAGTATCCATCCTGTATTCCTAGGAAAAATTGATGCTCAGTCACATGCAGTATAGTTGGAATGACAGTTAATGGGTGTGCTTTGTTGATTTGAACAGAACTGTTCTTTTTTCTCCCACTCACAAGAACTAAAAAAAGTACTTTTTCTGTTTGGAAAGCTTTGCATACTTCTGAGTTGAGTTCCCTTGGAATTACGTGCTTGAACAATTTCTTTTGGCCCAGTTTCTAACTTTCAGTTTCAGCAGTGATTTTATTCACAAAAGGCTAAAGAGAGGGTGCCTTTTTTCTCTCTCTCCAGACTTGGGTTGGTGTTCATGGTTAGTTTGGAAAGATAGAGGTAGTCCTTAAGAATGGATTATAGAGATCATGTTTGAGTTTCTTTCAGTGGGGATGGGGAGCTAGAACAGTTTAAAAAAATCTTATTTCTTGCTGAAGATTTTAAGAAGGAAAAGAAATACACTCTTCAACTTGCTATATGTGACATTTTTCTGTTTATGAAAATGTGGAAAAATTGAACAGTGTAGTCTTATCTTTCAGATAAACAGGTATGAGTGAATTTTCTGTTTAAATGACTTCATCTAAAATGTAGCTACATTACTCCAGACACTAACTACATCCATCATCTAAATACAGTTCAAAACCAAATTGTGTTTTCGTTGAGATTGAGGGCTGTAATGCAGTGGATCCCTTAGCAATCTGTAAGTGGTTTGAATTGATATTGATGATAGATTTTTTTTTTTTTTTTTTTGGTTGTGCATATTGGCTTATTTCATTTGTGGGATTCCCCAACAGTTGTTAACCCTATAAAATGTTTAAGGCTTAAGTTAGGTTTCTTTTGTAGTGGAGAACACTAATAACTTCCAGTTGAGTAGGCTGACAGGCTGGTATAAAACCTCCTCAGCTTACAACAAAACCTGGGGCAGAAAGGTTGTTGACCTCTGCAAACTTTTAATTCAAAGAAGCAGCCCTGAAGGGAGGCTGCTTATAGTTCTGTCTGATTGAATTTGGCAGCCTGGTACATGCTTGAGTCTTCACCTGTCAGTGTACAAAGTTTATTTTCTGAGAAATGTGAGAAAGCAGCTGTGATGTATACCTAGCAAAAGACTAACCTTTTTCTGGAAAGCTCAATAACACAGAAAGCACATACAGGTCATTTGTAACAGAATTGAATATAATTAATCAGTGTTTTTCTCTGTGTTGTGGTTAAATTAATAATTAAAATCAAACATTTGAGAATCAGTTGTATTATTTTACATTTTTTTTTTAGTGAAATGTATAATATTACATTCATTAGAGGCTTTTCCACTTCCTTGTAAGGTATTCCTTTTTCAAAATAACTTTATTGTCTTACTGTAGTAAGCATGCAAAAATTGGGGGGAAATCTGAGTTTCAGATAAGCTTTCAGAAATTTGGATGTTTCTGTGAAGCTGAGCAGATTTATAATCTGTCCAAACAGAACCTTTTCTTCTAGCTCACTGTCTTAGCTGATATTCTCATCTCCTTTTTCAAGATAATACTTATCTCACTCAATCTGGGAGAATTTTAAAAAACTTGGCTAGTTGGCTTCAGTAGGAGAGGAGTTGGCCGCAGTTTAGCAACCTCAGGGATGTTCATTTCTTTGTAGCCTCCTCTGGATCATCTGATACCTTACCAGTTGATGACTTTTCTGTCTGTACTGCTGCTTAGTTCCATTTTAGCAACTTCACTTCTTCCTAAATACCAGAATCTTTATTAGCAAGCTTATAAAGTTTATTCTAAAAGTCTGGAAGTGTCAGTTGACTAAAGCAGTAGCAAGTTGATGTGTTAGTCTTTCTGTTTCTTATCCTTAGTAATTTTCATCCTCATTGTGACAGCTCTTTTCAATGTTGACTTGCTTGGAAATAGTGTTCTTCACACTTCTGGTGTTCATTGTATGCTATTTTTCTACAAAATATTCTGAGACATAACCAACAGTTACATCCGAGGAAGTGCCACAAGTGAGCTTAGTCCATTTCTATGTGCAGGGGCACATGAGACTTTCTGTTCGGGTGATGCTACGTTTCTTCTTCATTTTTCCTTTAGTCTGTTCCTTTACTCTCTGTTAGTACAAAATGATGTGGGACTGTTTGGGTTTTATATATGCTGAAATTATTTTCAGCATCTGGATTTGGGTAACCTGGTTTTTTGTGGCTTTTCTTTATTGTTTGACACTTAAATATTTTGCTAATAGTACACTCTAAATATAGGCTAAATTCAAAACATGCTTTTTACTTTGTCAGAACATCAGAAGAAACAGCATTATGCCCTTATGTAGATCTCAGAGATGTACTTATTACTGTCTCTGACCATCACTTGCCTCTGTTTAGTGTTGAACCTTCTCCTGATTAGCAGGAATAATGCACTTTTTCATCATTTCTGGTGTGGAACTGGTAGTGGATGAGCAAGCTGTTTTATAGAGTTTGCAACAGAGGCCTTCCTGACCTTTGAAGGTCCACCCTCTTGTGAGCCGTACAAAAGCACATTTTGCGTGCCACAGTCCTCAACTAGGAACAAAAAAATTCTTGTGAGGAAGTGGAGGCAGCTTGGGAAGGGCTCCAGCAGATCTAGTAAATTCTCCTCTCTGGATGGCAGTGCCGTATCAAAGCCTATGTATGGTGTTACAGTCTTCTGAGACCCACACATGAGGACAGGTGAATCCTTTGACATTAAGACAGTAGTGATTCAAGAGAACCTGCGTAGGCTGTTTGGTATCCTCAGCTATGGAGAGGAGCAAGAAGTGCTACACCATCCAGTAAAGGGGCTGCCCACAGTCATGTGCCTCCCCCAGAAATGGTAACTCCGAGAGACTGGATCTCTTTGGCCAAAATCTTACTTCTCATGCTCCAATTATTCTTAGCTCCTGTAAGGTTATGGAATAAACTCCCGTTCCCAGCAAGAGGAAATGTCTTCATTCTCGTAGCCGTTAACAAAGACATCCGCCCACGCAGTGACCTGTTCCTATGGTCAGCTGCCTGTCTGTTGTCTTTCCTTCCTTACTGCAGGGCAGGGACCTCCCGCAGGCAGCCTCTGCCCTGTGCTCCTTGAAACCTACCTGCTAGCTGCTGGGCAATGTAAATGTCTTTGGGAAGTGTAGGGTCTGCTCTGTCAGAGCCCAAATATTCCCAGCTGCTCCCAAGCTGTAGCTGTATTTGAAATCTGCAGAACAGCTACGTGGGGCAGCTCAGTTACAGCGGTCAGGTCATACCTGTCAATGAAAGGGCTCTGATCCCTGACGGATGAAACTGATATCCCATCTTCCTACTTTGCCAAGAGTATGCCGGTTTGTTAATCATCAACAGCACTATCCACGCTTACGCATGTTCAGAGCAAACAATTTCTTTCCCTACTGTTACTGTAATTAATTGAATTACATTTCATTGTAATTCAGTGATTAGCCTGCATTCCTGCCTTTGGAGTTTTCGGCTACCATTAGCTTTGAGTTGCAGGGGGACTGAGTGAGGCTTCGGCAATGCTTTCGTGTATCCCGACAGCAGCTGGGGAAGCAGAGAGCGCATACCTGTTATGGACAGTGCTTCTCAAAGGAACTTACACACATGACGCATGTGAGTACATTGTGAAAGGCAAGATGCTGTAGGACAAGTGTTTGTCCTCAGTTGGGAAGTGATGTTGAAGTAGACATCTAATGCCATGTAAATGATCCATAAGTAATGTTACAGTAGACAAAGATGCTGTGATTTTAAGCTGTAATTCCTGAGTTACACAGGAAAATAATGGATTCTTCCCATCAATGCAGCTGCATGGTGCTTAGCATTTTGAATGGATGAATCCTATTTCATCAGAAAGATGTTTCCGATTCATGCTGCAGGGAGGAAGAGGATGTGGGGTGCCAGACAGAAGGGGTCTAAGAACCCTTCTTGGAGGTGTAGGCAATGCGTCTGTTGATGATCAGGGGTTGCGTGTGTGTGCTTGCACATACATACACACACATAGAAGGCCAAATTTACCACTGATTGAAAAACTCAAATATTTAAACATTAAATGTAACATTTAGTCTAAATATTTCGGTATATTTGTAAAAATATTTTTCATATGTATTTATACGTACACACAAACATGTATATAGGCTTATCAGGCAAATAGCTATGTGTCAAATATTTATTTTTGAAAAAAAATTTTAAAATGTTACTGGTTTTATTTAACAAACACAAAAATTAATTATAGCTGTCAGTACTTTTCCTTCAAAATCTTGAAGATATTGTACTTCTTTTAATATATTTTAAACAGATAAAGTTAGAAGCAGAATTAAACTTTACTGCTTTATCTTGATCTAGACTGTGGACATTTAAAGTTAGGGAGAAATTTATTCTTTAGTAAAAAAGACAGTAAGCTTACTGTAGGTGCATGAACAATGACAGCTTTGCCTCGAGAAAGAAGTGCAAGTTCTTTTTGATGTTTTTAAACTAGACTGTTTTAAGTAACATCTTATTTTAGCTGCTTGTATGGGACATACTTGTGGTCCAGGATGTGGTGGCTTCAAAAAGGAAGGAAGGAAGGAAGGGCTTGAAATAGGCCTCTCCCCCTTTGTAGCATATGCCTCTCGGGTGGAATTGGAAAGGGCAAGAGGTCTCATGTTGCAGGGTCATTTGTGTATTTCCTTCAGCCTTTGGCATGTCATGGGGCGTTTGCTCTGGGATCTCAAACTACATCTTTTCTCTCATAACCTTTGCTGTCAGATTTAGTTCCTTTATTTGCTCCTTGTAGAGTTATTTTACATGACATTAAGGTTAAGTAGAAGCTTTTATTACTGGTATTTTTGATGTGTATGAATAACCTCCATTCAGAAACAAATTTGTCAACCTTTTTTAAAGTGTCTGTTGTAATTTATGTGTGAAGGGAGGTTTTTTTGTGGGGGGAAATCTAGATTTAGTGCACCTTCTCTAAAAGAAATTCAGGGACTGCAATATATACCTCTGTGTGTATATACACGTGCACGTGTATTTAACATACATAGCTGACAGCTGAAGTAAGATATTTTGAAAAAGAATGACAATGATTGCTGCTGACTTGCACAGAAGCATGGAGATTTGTATTGCAACCCTGCACACTCCCAGTTCGTTTTTATTTGGAGATCCTTTGAGTCACTCTCCTCTGCACCCTCTTCTGGGGAGTGCTCTTCCTTTGTTCCCCAGGCAGCACTCTTCTCTGCCTCACATATTCTTCCTCAGAGAGATAGGCAGCCATTTACTTGAAAAAAACTCAAAACCAAACAAAAAATGACCCTCGCATTCATTTAAAAAAAAAATACACAATGAAAAAGTGAGTTTTCTTGTGTTACATGTTCTGTATTAAAATCAATGCTTGTCTTGTCTGTCTTGTGATGTGTCTAAGGACCTAAAAGATTCACGCAATTCCTGTGAATTCAGTGCTCCTCTTCATGTGAATCAAATCACTGCTGTGCAGAAAAGTTTGCTGAGCACCAAGTATAACACTACAAAAAGTCAAGATTGGGATAGAAATACGTATTGCTAATAGGGAGTATTTAACTGGGTATCTTGACAGTTACAGCTCTTTTTGAGAAAGCTGCCTGTCGAGAAGTTTGTCAACACTGTAAATACTCAATGTTCAAAGTGTTAATATAATTAAAGAGCTTTTCAGATGGTTTTCTACTGATAATATATGTTAGGGTTTTCCTTATATTTTATTTTGTTCAATAACCCAATCATCAAGTAATATTTTAATATTAATATTGTCATAATATATAAATCTGTATTAACTATATACAATTTGTAACATTGTATCTATAATTAGTATTGCTACTAAATTATTAAATGTGTTGTGTTTAGAGTCTTCTCTTTTCATTTCTGTATTAGAAGAGGGCTGTTGCTGATTTTAACAGAAATGTAGGCAGTTGGGCACCTAGGAGAGGAGAATGTTAATTGCAGGAAGATTGAATTCAGGGTAGAAAATGGAAATGTTTATGAAATGGCCTATTTGTGTTTCTATGGTGGGTGTTAGGCAAATAGGAAGAGTTATTTTGGCTGCTCTGCAGGATGTGCTAATTTGTAACATTGAAAATAAAAAATGGAATTTCACATACATATGTAAACAAAGAATGCATATGTAATAGGCAGGTAGCTGGTAATTGTCTAGAAGGAGTGAATTTCTAGCTTAGTGTCTAAAGTTAAAGTTATTTGAATTTTTTGTGTGGTGCGTTACATTATGTAGTAAGAGCATTCTGCTTAGTGCTTTATCTACCAAAATTATTTTTAAAAATGATGTAGGGAAATGAGAAACATTTGAAATTTGTTTTCTGTTTAGTGCAATATGAACAAAAAAATTGGTTATTGTTTAACAGAACTTGCCAGATGCAAATATTATTTAGATTGGAACTTGGCCTAGCAGGACAGCCATTTCATCTTGCGTGTATAGGTGTGTATGAACTGGGAAAGAAGAGGTGAGAGGAGAAGTAAAGAGAGTCTGAAGAATGGCTTTGCACATGAGAGGTGTCAGGTAACAGTAAACACTGTGCAGTAAGTCCAAGAAACAGAGATTATGGGATCAGTTTGGCTGGTCTGGGAGTTCTAGTGATCTTCCTGATGGTTGCAGTAAATGTCCACAAAAACGTAGGCTTTGATTTTCTTTCAGAGAGGTGAAGAAGTGAGGGAATAAAACGGAAGATTAACAACCTAGACTGATTATTTGAGTGGGAAGTGGAGATAATTAAGCAAAAGCAGGAGTTGATCTCCCACTGTTTGGGTCAAGGTGCTTTAGTAAAGCCATAACAATGATGATTCTACATGTCAACATTGAGTGAATTAATAAACGGTGCTTGCAATTAAAGGATGGCAGTGTGCTCAGCAAAGGTTCAGTTAAGTATCGGGTGCTTGGTCAGTGAAGATTTTGATGCTTCGTGCCCCCTATCCCGTAGATGGTACCCAAGTGCTTGGTCGTTCTCAGTAAGAGCTGTTGAGGTTTGCAATGCTCTTTTGTCTCCAGTCTAGAATAATTCAAGTTACGAACTTCTAAGGCGTGCTTCAACACTAACCTCAAGTTTATTCTGCCTGCTGCTGGAGAGATGAAGATTGTGCTGTAGGCAGAAAGGATTAGCGTTCATTAGTTCTGAATCAATTAGCAGAGAACACCATGCATGCTGTCCAGGAGGTGCTGTAGCAGACTTGATTTTACTTCACACACACCCACACACACCCCGAGCATCACAAAGAGAGTTTATTTTCTGGGCAGTTTGGAAGTGGAAAAAAAGCTTTAATTGCAGATGTTCTGCATCTTTTTCCTTCAGTAAAGTTTGATGGGTTGGAGGAATAGATCAGGTTTAAGAGCAGCTTTTAGATTGTGGAAGAAATGCTTTTTAAAGTTGGCTGTATTCAAGTGGTTATATGCCATAAATTTTAAGGAAGTGGTTTTAATTTTTAAATGAAACAAGGTGACTTAGGAAGAGGGGGAAAAAGAAAGCTTAGTAAAATTTAGCTGTTTTGTGATTAACCACACACTTCTCCAGAAATTAATGGTAGTACCTACAGCAAACCAGGGAGAAATCTCAACGTCATTTTAAATAGGTTTACGTGCTTCTGAAACTGAACTGTCAGATTGAATTTCTCTGAAATCTGAAACATAGTTCTTTGAAAGTCTTTGGTTAAAGTGCAGAATCTGAAGCAGCTCTACAACACTATTGCTAGGAAGTTTGCAAGAATAGTCCTTCAGCACTGCTAACAATATTTCCTTCATGTAAAATCTGTCATGCTCAGCTCAGAGAAAGATAATGACTCCTGATACTAGATAGAAACATATTTTGAAATGTTGCTCTTCCTATTTAAATTTTATATTTTGTTTCCACTTAGGACAATTAAAGGCTGCTAAACAAAACTCCAAACACCTTTTCTAATAATTTAAAATTACACCATTAAATGCAAATTTACTTCTTAAACAGCATCACCACTAAATGCAAATAACATGTCTACAGATTGGTGATGGATTATTATTGAATAAACATAAGGTCGTCTTTATATGTGTTTGATGCTCTAGTAGCACAAGTCTAGTGATTATTTTAGTTTAGTATTTCATGAAATATCTGATAGACTTTTAAACACAACCACGACTTTTAGAAAGTGGTATCAAGGAGAAAAGCAGAGACAAACTGAGTTAATCCACCTCTGTGGACTATAAATATATAAATGTAAAAATTTATTTCATACAAACCCATGATTTCTGATTCAGGGCTTTTAACTTCCAGACAGGTGCTTTATTAAATACCTCTTGTATATCTTTACATGAGACTATCAGCCAATGCAGTAAGAAATGAAGGCACTCAGCACCTTGCAGAAGTCAACCTGTCACCACATGCTCTAGTAACGCAATTTACTTTCTTTTTCTTTGGGTTTGCAGGCAGGAGCTTCCCAGGTCATCTTCACTAATCCTCTGGAGATTGTAAAGATTCGGTTGCAGGTAGCAGGAGAAATTACTACAGGACCCAGAGTCAGTGCCCTCTCTGTTATAAAAGATTTAGGCATTCTTGGTCTTTATAAGGTATGTATTTCTGCTTTGAGCAGCTTCACCATTTTATGTTTTATGCTAAACTTTTATACTGTTGTAACAAAAACTGTTAAAAACAAAGACATCTTTTGAATTTAAAACCAATCTCTTCCTGCAGGGCAGCCCCACAGTGGAAAACTGAAGAAAACCCACTTCTATATTAAGGCAGTGGGATACAAAAAAATACTCCCCCATTCTATCCTTTGGGCTTTTATGCCAAGCTACAGGGAGTCCTGTATTGCAGACCTGCTGTCTTCTGGCACTGATCATTTCGTTTGGTGGGGTTTTGTGAAAAGTTTCTTTAGCTTTCTCTGTGTGTTTTTCTTACGTTTGTTTGAATCTCTGTTATCTCTATTGTTATCTTTGCAGCAGGATATTCTCTTTGTCTTAATAATTTGATGGCAGTGAAACAGTAGTGGAGTTTAGTAGGATTCAGATTTTTAAGAAGTTAAGTGGTAGGATTTGTCAATAACAAATTCCACTAAAAAAAAGCCCATACTGTACTGTATTTCAGCAGAATGCCAGTCAACAGATTTCTTCCCTGCAGGTATACTTACTACCGTCATTACAGATCAGATGTAATGGAGCAGAAGCTATTAGTTTTCTTAAACAAGGAAGAGTATTTCTTCCTGTATCTTCTGCCAGTGCAAGGGGTAATACGTAAATTCAGCTGTTGTATTAGCTGTGCACTTACAAAATGTCATTTTACATGATTTGTCCATAAACCTGCAATAATACTGTAAAAATGTGCAAATTTACTTCTAGAGCTGACGATTTTGTTTTGAATTCAGTAGATGAGATTCACGACCACTACATTTCCTAAAGATCATAGGTGTTTTGGTACATGGGACAAACTACCATTTCTGTTTGCAGTGATTAAACAATTGAGCTTACTAAAAATTCTCCTGTTCTTTAGAATTGCATTATCATTTGTGAAGAACTGTAAGAACTTATCTTAGAGCATAAAGTATCTGTATGAAAATAACTGAAGGAACACATTTCTCTATAGCGGGTCTTCTGCTTAAGCCACGTAGGGTTTGTGATGTGTGCTGTCTGTTAATATCACTACTGGGTGACTGGCATCGGGTGGGTCCATTGTGTGGAGGCTGCTGGCTTGGAGTATACCAGTTGGGTATTTAGGCAAGGAGTGGTGTTTTTGTATAGTGCACGCTTTCAGGGTATGCAGATGAGATTTTTGGACGTACAAGGGCTTATTTGAGCTTTGTACAGGAGTTATTTTAGTTGGTAGCAGACTGATGACTGAAGTTACTAAAAGAAGAATATTAGATATGTTTTATTATGAGTATTCCACTGTTTTTACACCATGCAAAGTTCTGTTAAAGGAACTCTTTAATGCTAGTTTGTGGCCAGGAGCTAGTCCTTGCACTATTATTGTAGGCTGCTAGTTTTGTCTCCCTGTATCTTCCCCTTACTAAATGTTTCCCATTTTGCAGCAGTTTCCCTCATTTTACTAACCTTCCAGTACAGCTTTTTCAGTCAACCAGATGATGATCGGTGGAGATCGGTATGAGGTCTTACAGTTCTCACTGGTATTTTAGTAGTGCTTTTGTGTTTGGCGGAAAAAATGGCATGCAAAGACTTGTCTTGCTGCTTCCATGGTTGTGGTGGTTGTCAGCAAGACATAAGGACAGACCTTTGTCACTTTTTTCATCGCATTTGGACACATCGTATGTAAAAGGTATTTATCCTAGGTACTGACGTCAGGATTGATGTCACATATTGCTTACTGAAATTAGACATGAACCTTGACTCTTCCTCATTCTAGAAACTTACTTTAGATGTGCTTTACTCTTTTTTTCAAGCTCAACCCTACATCTTCTGTTTCCTGAGACATTTTATTTCCTGTGTTATTTACCTGGTAGATCAAAAGAATTGGTACTTCTTGGGCTCAAGCTGCTTGCTGGGTATCAATTTTAATCTTATTTACAAAATTGATTTGTATTATGTCTCTTTTTCTATGTGACAGGGTGCCAAAGCATGTTTCCTCAGAGACATTCCCTTTTCTGCAATCTACTTTCCTGTTTATGCTCATAGTAAACTGATGCTTGCTGATGAAAATGGCCATGTGGGAGGGCTTAATCTCCTTGCAGCTGGAGCCATTGCAGGTAATTTTACAGAATGTTTTCTAGAAGTAATTTTTTTTTTCTTTTAGTGAGCAATATTTAATATTCATTCAGTAGCCCCATATAAAGGAAGGGTACTGTACCATTGTATCTGATTTAATCTAAATTTGATCACTGTTATCCTTAGTGGGAGGTGATGTAATTTTGATGAGTACTAATTACATTTGCATAATGTGGATAAACAGCGTAATGCAGCTCAGCAACTTGTAGTCAAATTTGATCTGTCTGTCTCAATGGGGTTTTACTTGTTACTGTGCTCTCAGAGTTGAAGGCTAATTTGAATCTTTGATGAACATAAGATGAGAGATCATAAGAGCTAAGGAGAAAATGACTTACCTAGTTTTGGATTCCTGAATAACTGAGAAGAAACTTTGTTCAAATGTAATTGCTAAAAATAGGGCATTAGTTTGTAAAGAAGCTGAAGTTAAAGTATCATACTCTGAAATTTAAAATATTTTAAGGCTTCTAAAAAATGTTTAGTATAAAGAGAATATGCAGTGGTCATAAAAAGTTGTTTTTAATAGAGGTAGGAACTGTAGTGGTGGTCATCTAAAAACATGGATACAGATGACCAGATCCTGCACTGCCACAGACTGGATCACTAGGATGAAAACCAGGTATCTGCAGCCTCTCAATTGTGAACGATTCAGTGTTGGAATCTGTGCAGTTTAGAAACATCAGTGGCTGACCAGACCTTTTGTTACTTGTTACAGTCATAAGGAATCACTATATATACATCAGTCATGAGCCATCTGTGTGTAAAGAGCAGTTTCCCATATTGGACTTGTTACAGAGCTTGGCTGCACCTGCTCTTTGCCAGTTGGTAGGTTCCTCGTGCCAGAGGGAAGGGAGAGACCAGCTAGGAAACTACTAACAGATTCGTAGCCCTGTTTATTCTCAAGTAATGCAGAGCTGCCAGGAATGGAAAATTATTTAGCTTACTGTACTCACAGAAGCACATACAAATATTATTATTTAACTTGTATCTCATACAAAGACTCACTGTTTTTACATTACAGGCTTCACAGCTTCTCTTTGTTTGTTTGATTAATGTTTCTCGGTCACCCATACTAAGTGATGAACCCTATTAAAAATGTGTGTAAATCTCATAGGCCTAGCTTTATAGCACGTACAGGAGTCTGCCTTTCTGAATTGCAAATTTCAAATTCCCGACTGCTCAATCTACTCCTGTTACGCATATGCAGTAGGGAAGAATACAGTCTGAACATACTTGCCTGTAAAGGAAAATCTGCATATGGTTGCAATTAGCATATGCTTGTAGGCTTAACTGTATTGCTTCTGTTTTCCTCTAAAACATCCTGAAGTGATCAGCAACACTTCAAAGTTTATGATCACCTATGCAAATTGGTGACTTGTTAAATTTTTAATTCAATATTAACCAATTGTAAAAGTTCAACAGAAGTCAAAATCAATTTCAAAATTCTAAGTCAGAAGATGGTTCCTCTTCTTAAGAGGATGAAATTTTTACAGCATTCAGAAGTATTCAGAAATATCTCAGATAACACAGTTGTATACTGTGGAGTACATTTCTGAAAACTTTCTCCTTTCCTTTGACTAGAAAGCTGAGAGTGGTGCCTTGGAAGTGGAGATTTGTTCTTCCATCATTGTTGGCTATTATCACGCTGTTGGTACTAAGCAGGCTTGTAAAACACCTTCATTGTCCTCAGTCTTTTTATGGCTTGCCTATTGAAGTAAGCAGCATCTATTCTCCTACAGAACAGTCCAAACAGCAGTACAGACATATTTCTGTAGAATAGGTGTTCTAAGTAGTAGTTTTCTTATTAACACCTTTAACAAATGGATGTGTAGGATTCAACTTCCCAAATCAATCATCCATGTAATTTGCAAAATATGTTGTAGAGTATTAACAAATACAGTAAGGTTGCACAACTAATTTTTGTCATGGATATCTCTTATTACATATATAGCATATGTGTGAATTTAAAAATGCTTCTCTTATCTTTTTGAAACTACTGATAATGACAAACCACTAGAAGATGTTGAGAGAATTGCTGTTGATAGTTTATTATTTTCTTTACTATCAGTTATAGCCTTTAAATTTAGAAGAAACTCAAAACAATTATACCAAGCACAACAGTTTATATTAGCATCAAGCGTAAGAACTTGCATTTTTAGTAATGTCTAATCCTTGCAAAAAATATTAAAGTTTGCAGTTGTATTTTTCAGTTAGAAGTGTTTCATCTTTTACAAGATTCTCTGTGCAAATTAAATGTGGTTTTCTTCTAAAAGGTGTGCCTGCTGCTTCTTTGGTAACCCCTGCTGATGTCATCAAGACAAGACTGCAAGTGGCAGCTCGCGCTGGTCAGACAACATACAGTGGAGTTATTGACTGCTTTGGAAAGATTCTAAGGGAAGAAGGTCCTTCGGCTTTTTGGAAGGGAGCTGGAGGTGAGAAATGCACTCTGAATATTAAGGCTGACGCCGAATCTGCAAATTGGCACTTGCTTTGTTAAGGACTCAAATTAGAGCAGTAGTTACAAGGTTTGATTCTGAAAAACATAACCTCTTGTTAAAAATGTTTAGATTCTCTCCTGAGAAATTATTTTCTTTGACATTACGATTTGTAATATTTAACAGCTCGTGTGTTCAGATCTTCACCCCAGTTTGGTGTTACTTTGGTCACTTATGAACTTCTGCAGCGATGGTTTTATGTCGATTTTGGAGGCATGTAAGTCAAATATTTGCTTTTTTGGAAAAAAACGGCCAAGTTAAAAAAGACCTTACTTTTTTCATACATGGGACCTCTTAAACTTGGTGACTTTGAACACCCGAACTTAAGATTGAGGTATGCAAAAAAATCCCCCCCTCCTCATATAATTGAGACAAACTCACCTGTTAATTCTAAACAGATGAGAATAGAAAGAGCCATTTCATATTTATTTTAATACACTACATAAAATTTGTATTTCCACTCTATTTTCCCTGTGCCAGTGGAAGTTAAAAGAATTTACAAAGCTATCAGTAAAAATGTAGCTTCACTTTTGGCCTTGATTTCCCATTAAGTAGTGGTCTGAACTCAACTTACTTTACTAGACCAGAGAAGTGAATTAATTAAGGTCAGCTTTAACAGTCTTCCCTACTCAGACAAAAGCCTTAAGTATTTAGTCTATCTTTTGTAAAGTTATTCAGGCTTAAGAAAACACTTTAAATAAAGGAAAGGCTTTTTTTTCTTTTTCTTTCTTCAAACAGCAAACCTTCCGGATCAGAACCTACCTCAAAAACTCGAATTTCAGACCTTCCTCCTGTTAACCCTGAGCACATAGGTGGATACAGACTTGCTACAGCTACATTTGCTGGTATAGAAAATAAATTTGGTTTATATCTTCCTAAGTTTCGATCTCCTGGTATTACCTTGGCTCAACCAAAAGGTAGCAGCTGAATCCTGAAAAGATGTTTCAACCTAACAAAGTGATGCAGTGGAAAAAAGTTCACAAGAGTAGTACTGTATTTTTTCCAGTCAGCTGCATGTTGTTCTAGCTGAACTGAGCTTGCAAATCTAATTACTCATTTCTAATATTAATACATACCTGCATTTATTTTATTTGCACAAAAGAAACTGACTGAAGCTGTGGTTCTATGCCTTGTTTTAACCAGTGGCATGAATCTGTAGCCTAGACTTTGCCTTGCACAACTTGCATTTAATGTTACTGTACATATTGTACATCTTTGTACAGAGACATCACGGCATCTGTATACGTACATTTATATAATGGGTATTGCAGTTCAAAATAGTTTGAAATGTACAGAATGTTTTGAAGGTGTTTTGTTAACAATCACAACAATAAAATATTTAAAAACACTTAAGTCAGTTCACTACTTTGTGTTTATAGAAAAGTTGTCCAGTGTGTGTTTTTTTCCCTCCACAGATTACAGATTAAAATTTAAAGATCAGATGCACTCATTTAATCAATGTACAGTACAGAACATAGCCTCTGAAGGAATGCATTTCACTGCTAGTTACAGCAAAGGTATTAAAATGCAACGTGCTGTCTTGTAAGAGAACATAGTAATTAGATGAGCACATGCAATATTTTATTTTGCAGTACTACTTTGTAACAAGGAATTCCCTCGAAATACATGTTAATACTAAATGTGTGATAGATCTTACCTCTATGGTAGTGTATCTAAAACAAAATGAAGTATTTGCCAGGTATTAGCAGACTCAAGAATTTTTACAAGATTTATTACTCAGAGTGCTTTTTTCCAGAATGGAAGTTTTTTTTATAAAAAAGTGAGGGCATTCTCTTTATTTCTAGATTGTTTTAACATTAAAAAATTAGGCTATTCTGGAAAAAAAAAAAAAGCAAACCACAGCCACTTTAACATTCTTTTTATGTGCAAAACTGATTGTTTATATTTCCAGTTGAGTGGAAGGCTAAGTAAAAGGAGAGGAGAAAGGAAAAGCTTGAACTATTTCTGGCCTAATGTCTGCCAAAAGTTTATCGGGTGTAATTTTTAAACACAAAAATGTCAGAGGAAATAGGGGTGTCTAGATTTCTACAGTCCTAGAAGAAAAGTAGTTATACTACCCCTACAGCCAGAAAAGAAATGGGTGGGTTTCCAGCCTTGCTTATTGAAGTATGACAACCTTCAATCTTTAGTTTTACATGTTTCTTTCAGGATTAAATATGCTGGAGTACAGTGTATCCCAGTGGTATAAACTGATTTGAGGTTCTACTCTTTTCTTGCTCTGGTGACAGCAGGCCAATATGAAGAGTTTTAGTGGCTTCTAAGTTAGTTAATGGCTTCTTAAAAACTAAACACGACAAACAGACAAGTCTTTCTTCAGTTCTAGCCTCTAAGCAAGATGCAGAATCTTTTGATGCTGAATAATATTTAGTGAGCTAAAGGTTAGAATACATCGAACTTGGGAGTTTGATCACTATTCTGCAACATGCATATATGTAACCCCATTAGAAGGCTTCCAGTCTTTGTTTTTTTCTGTTTAAAGAATTACGTGTTCTGTGGAGTTTTCTAGAGACAGGCTTCCCAGGAACCCTCTCCCATATCTACGTATTTCGTTCTGTGTTTTCTAAATAGATAGAAAAATGGTAGGTACCTACTGGCATTTAATCTTAGTCACAGTTTGTTGACTGGCTTGATCAAGGCCTTAGGAGACTTTACACTGCAAAATAGCATTTGTATTTCTTACAGCTCCAAAACCGGACAGTGTGGCTCCCAGAATGATCATTTACAGTATCTAGCATCACTGTTGCTCTCCTAATGTTGCAGGTATGGGTTTTACAATATCTTTAACCTGTACTCAGCTGTTTTGTGAGGGAGGAACACAAGCAGGAATGAATACAGAATAGTTCATTGAAAATTATTTAAAGGTTGAAATTATGTAAAACTAATGCCACAATCCATTGAAAGAAAGCCTTATATTTTCAGAAATCCAGTAGATAAGTCTGAAGGAAATGTATTATTAAATGAGAAGTAATAATCTCAGTAAAAAACACCAAAACACCAAACGCCCACCCCCTTGCCTCCCCCTGCCAAAAAAACCAGCAAGACAACAGAACTGCTTGTTAAGAATTCTTGTGCCTAAAGGGTAAAAATCATCACATGATGTGCCTGTTCTTTATGTAGTTCACATGTTTCTCAACTGAACAGATAGCTGCTCTCCTCAGGTTCAGGAAAACATACAAGGTAAATGTAAAACTGAACAGCATGACTTTGCATTAAAAAGAGGGGGGGACTTTTGACAAGCCAACACCAGTGGAAGCCAAATAAATTTCACTTTCAAACCCACTGAAAATGAGAACCTCCTGACGGCAGAACTGCTGTTACTGCTGCCTGTGTCTCTATGAGCTGCTTGTAACAGAACTGAGACAAGGAGAAATAGAAAAAAAAGCCCCAACTTAAAACACAAATTATGAAGGAACAATAAGAATACTTCTGGACATAAAGCTGATTAAGGAAGATAAACCTATTTCCTACTTCTAAGCATATAAAACAGCTCTTCTGGCAAAGCCATAAGCTTGTAGCAGATTAAGAATACCAGAAACGAACCTAGAGTCATAAGTTAAAGAAACCAATATTGATTTGGTGCCCAATTAGTACAAGTCAGAATATTTACTAAAAAACCAAAACCCCACAAACAACACCCCCCCCCAACCTGAAACCCAAACCCCGTCTCAATGGGAAACTTTATAATGTCCTAAGAAAGATGTATTAAAAAAATTTAACAAAAGTTCCAACCATTCTGTTTCAAGCCATTGAGAGGTTTTGTTTCAATAAAAATGTTAAAAAGCAATGAAAATGTCTTTCTTTAACTTAATATGGAAAATCAGTAGCAAGTCTGTAGTTAACAGAATGCAGATCATCATGCTATAGAAATTAAGTGAAGATCTAGTGCCTTATCCTTTGGAAAAGAAAAATTTGACAACAGTAGCCTTTTTCCTTTTGCCTGATTGCTACAGTAGGAAGTGGAGGTCAGAGGCAGAAAACAGCTCCATGATGTGTGTAGTAAAATGAAACCAGCAGCTCCCAGGAACTCTCTACTCTCAAACTACTGAAGGGACACAGATTAGGGGTCAGGGCAGCTGACAAGTGCTCATATAATATTTATTTATGAATCAGTCTCACCTTTTAATGTACCAATTCAAACAAAAGAACTCATTATTAAATATGTATTTCATTAATTCAGGTCCAATTATCAAGTAAGTTTGTAACTACAGACAAATTTTTATTCACATGTATTACCCACTACCAGAGTCTGAGGCTTATCTATATATAAACAATGAAACTTACTTGGAACATATGCATGCATATCCATGGGTAATTTGAAGAGTTCAAATTAAAGAATGCTTCAGAAATTTACTACCTAATGAAGGTTAGTCTGTGGAATATAGAAAGTTTAGTTCAGAAACAGAACTTGTACTTTTCAGAAATAGATACTGTTACAAAGTGGAAATTTCAGAAGCCCAATAGTAAATTTACATCAGGTTAGTGTTTCAGCAAAAGAAGTTCCTTGCAAAGTCAAAGTTAACTGTATTAAAAGTTACACAAATCCAAGAATGTGCTTGTAATTTATATATAAAAAGTGACAATGCAAGATCAGATTTTCAGTGATCTTAATACATTTCAAAGTCCATAGCTGAATCCATATATTCCTCCCTTAAGCTATTATTTGAACTGACACATGCTTACACTTTTTAAGATTTGCATCAAATCATTCACAAGTCTACCACTGCTGCCTATTTTTAATGATCTACGCTGGTATGCGGGTTGCAGCTTCCTCTTCTGCATCAGCTCTGTTAGCATTTATTTCTGCCAGCGTTCGACCAAATCGAGTCCACTCATCACTGCGTGGAATGGCAACTTGCTGTTGACAAAGAAAACGTTATTTAAGCCTACTTATAAATAAAAACTGAGTTCATTTTGAATAGCAGAATGCTCAAGTAATGTTCAGAAGAGGTTCCAACAGAAAAGCTTACCTTTATTTAGTGTAACTTTTAAAATAGTCTGAACATCAAAATCTCTAACTAATAAAAGAAGCAGAATTTGAGAATCTGGTATTTAAGTATGTAATGGTACTATTACAAGCTCGCATGATAGGTCTCCATCTGAGAGACTGCCTCCAAAGGGCACTACTAATGCTGTATCATCATCCCATCAATTAGTTATGTACTACTGCAGTACACGTACTTGCAATAGCAACAGCTTCACTGTAGGAACAAAGTCAAGACTGCTTCACTGCAGAATTTTTTGTTCAGTACTTCTCAAACTATGGTCAGAATTCACGTGCCAGGTATAAAGAACATAAAATCTCTACAAACCAACCCATTGATTCTTTTATCTTATTTCACCAGCCTTACAAAAATGTTTTTATTTTTTTGATTGGCTGCCAGATAGCATGCTAAAAAGTTATGCTAGAATACCTGAAATAGACACAAAAAGGTAACATTAATTTCAAAATAAAAATTAAACATTATTCCTCTAATCACAGGGGAAAAAAGTTAAAAGCAAGTTGCTAAATAAGAGTCAAAGAAACACGAGTGTTTTGTAATGTACTTTGCACAATAAATGGTATACATACCTCTCCCACATCATATATAACTATTTGTCCCTCTGAATCACCTACAGCAATCTCTCTCCCAGAATGCGTCCATCTCACACGGTTCAGAGCAGGATTGCCCTCCACAGTAATGCTTGCAGTTGGCACCTGTATCCATTTAAAACACATTGCTAAAAATTCCGTAAACTAGAGATTACAGAACACACCTAGTCCCTCAGTGTTGTATCAAAAGAAGTGCCCAACATTTCAGCTGAGGCAGAGTATGTAAACCTCAAAGACTCTCAGTGGCCTTAAGCTATCACCAGTGACATGACCAAAATGATACATCTTCTGTCCCTTGGCCAAAGTACAAACATCCTCTATCAAAAAGCACATCTGAACTCTTGTCATGAGGCAGGAGGCCTAGACATGCATTCAGTCAGACAGCAAGGAGGAACCCTGGGATCTCAAGAAAGATATGACAGAAGGCAGGGATGAAGTCAGCTGCTTTGGCAGGTCAAATCCTGTCCAAAGGCTAGAACTGGGTAGTTCCAATCTGAAGCCATAGGCTGGCGTATGCTCCTACAGAACTGCTCTTTCTTCTATATGCAGTTTTAAGAAGGTGAGATTTAAGTACCGAGTATCTGTCAGGTTCTTCCTGTCACCTACATCCAACAAGTTTAAATCTCAGAAAAGATTCATACTATAATTAAGTTTATAACTCACACCAGAAAACCCAAACATTCAATTCTCTAAGTTTAGAAACAAATTACAATTTCACTGCAATAGTACTATG